GTTTAAAAGGAATGTATATGTAGAGCCTTTCAGATTGCACATTGTCTTGTGAGTGGGAGGTGGGGAAGAAGGGGGAGAAAATTTAAAACTCAAAAACTTACGGAAGTGATTGTTGAAAACTAAAAATAAATTAATTAATTAATTAAAAAAAGTAAGAAAAAAAGAAAGACTCCAGGAAGGCACAAGGAACTGGCAGTCTCCATCATGTCCCTATCCCAGATGGCTACTCTAGAGACTTCAGATAGTCTCCTCTTGGGTGAGATCTAGAACTCTGTTTTGGTTGAGTTGAGTTACCTCACCCTCAATGGGAGAGCTTCTTCACTCTATATTGTCTGGTATATGTTCTCCTATGTATACCTTCTCTGACCTTTGTTTTGCTATGATCTGGATAAATGGATTTCTTTGCTATTCACTATGTCTTTATTGTGGAACTGGTATTTGGTGGGAAGGGCATCAAGACATTGAAATAAAATTTGAGGTTCTCCTTCCCCTCTCAAAATAACATGGTGATCAGATGTTAGATTGAACCCAAACATACTGCCTAAACTAATAACATTTTTTCCTACTGAGAATTTTTTTTTATTTTATTCCATAGCTTTTTTAAAAATTAATTTATTTTGATTTATCAATAATCACTTCCATAAGCTTTTGAGTTTTAAATTTTTCTCCCCTTCCCTCCCTCTCCACCTCCCTCCCCAAGATGGTGTGCAATCTGATATAGGCTATACACATACATTCCTATTAAACATATTTTCACAAAGACTAATAACATTTAAGGGAGCAGGCAGACACACTTTTAGCACCGTACCCTCTCTCCCTGAGGAGAGCAGAGTAGCCTCCTACCCCAGCCTCCCACTTTTCCTCACACAAGGGGCCCTGTCATTATACGAGTTAGGCTTTCCAAACATGGGATGAATTGCCTTTGGCAGTCATGGGTTCCTCCTTTTGGGGGCTGGTGTAGAAGGTACAGATTGGACTAGATGGCCTTTGTGATCCTTTCCAGCTATAAAATTCTACGATCAGTAATCAGTCATTTCCTGTCTATTTAGATATAGTCAATGTTTTTTTTTAGTTGTCATGTCCAGTGCTTTTCAAGTCTCTAATTGAAGGTGGTTATGCTATGTAGGCATGAGGCATGAGGCATGAAAGTAATCTACAAGCCTTTTGCCTTTTTTATTTCTTAAACCTGAACCATATTTGCCAACAAGATTTCCACCATTCTCCCCATGCCCATCTTATTGAAGTCAATAAGCATCAAGGCATATGTTAACTTGGTTTAGAACAACTTATCTAAAAATTTTGTGACCTTATATTTATTCTGGATATATTTACAAACACTTTTAAAATTGTGGAGTTGAAATCACCTCATTCCACTTAGGCCTGATAAAGTGTAAGGATAGGACCTAAATTACCCTATCCCACCTAGTCTTGATACATTTATCAGGCAATAAACAAATCTACCTCATTCACTAGGTGTGAACAGGACCTAGACACTCTACAGCCAACAGGAACTTCATTTCAATTGGCTGAGGGACTTGATCCCTGCCTGGATTACTGCCTTGTCGTGGTGGAGGGGAAAGTCCTCAAAGAGAGGGGAATAGATCATCTTACATGTCACCTGAGGAACTTGTAATCAGGGCCACGAAGCAACAGTTAGAATCAAACATGGAACAATTGATTGGTTTAAGATTGGAAAAGGAGTACGACAAGGCTGTATACCTTCACCTTATTTATATAACTTACATGCAGAGTGTGTCATGCAAAATGCCAGGCTGTATGAATCAAAAGTGGAATTAAGGTTGTTGGGGGAAATAGCAATAATCTCAGATGTACAGATGATACCACTTTGATGGCAAAAAGTGAAGAAGAATTAAGAAGCCTCTTAATTAGGGTGAAAGAAGAGAGTGTAAGATTTTGGCAACTGGTCCCATTACTTCCTGCCAAACAGAAAAAAAATGGAAGCAGTGTCAGATTTTACATTCTTGGGCTCAAAGGTCACTTCAGGCAGTGACTGCAGCATGAGAGCATACTAAGAAGCAGAGACATTACCTTGTCAACAAAGGTCCAGATCAGTCAAAGTTATGGTCTTTCCAGTAGCAATGTATAGCTGTGAGAGATATAGTAAAGAAAGCTGGGTGCTGCAGAATCAATGCTCTTGAATTGTGGTGCTGGAGATTTCTGAGAGTCCCTTGGACAGTAAGGAGATCAAATCAGTCAATACCTTAAAAAAATTAATTCAAGATATTCACTGGAAGATGAGGAGAACCGTACAGGCATCAAATGGCATGGGGAAATTTGAACTTTCCTCCTTCCTGTCAATGTCCCAGCATCATTATCACTGGAGCAGCAGTGGCCTGTAGCAATGTCTACATCAGGAGCCAAGAACAGAAGAGATGCAATATAGAAAAGCAGCTTCTAGGCTCTAGAAGGAGCCCAGCAGAATCACTGCAACATGCTTAAGGGGAATTTCCTGAATTCCCCACAAAGGGGACAAAGGGGGAAAAGGGACTTCCAGCAGCCAAGAGTTATGAGTTAATTGCTCCTTACTACATGCAGTCTTTAACCTTCAACTCATTTTCCTTTGGATCCAGTAGGTAGTAGTGGAAGAGTTTGTCATAGACTTTTGGGGGGGATTGTTTATATCAATTGATCTTACTATACTACCTTAATAAATAATCCCTTGCTAAAAACTGTCTGCCTAATTAATTTCTATAATCATGGGGATAAGTACATCCATGGGAACTCCCAACCTATAGCATTAGAAAGACAATCCCCACCACTCAAGGCTACCCCTAGAATCCTAAAGAGAAATCAAGCCAGCCTTGCTTTGAGGATCCAGTTTGTCAATGGGAATGGAAGTTAGGAGAGTAGGTCCAGAGCCTATATGCACTACATTTAGGAGTTTGTTCCAGATAAATATTGGGTCTTTTACATTTGTAGAAAACCATTGGAGAGACTCTTAACCCAGGATTCTTTGTTATGGCTTGCATGTTAAAAGTAGGTGGAAAAATATCATACAAGAGATATATGACCAGAAAAAGAAATGAACTAGTCAAATGTCAAGAGCAAGGAATAAAAAGGATAATCAACCTAGATATAAAAGTTCACATCATAAAAACAAATTAGAGAAAAATGGAAGGAGTTTTTACTTTGTAACTATTGGTAAGGGAAGCATTTTTAGCCAATCAGGAACGAACATGAATAGACAGTTTTCAAAACAATTGTAAATTATTAACCATTACATGAAAGATGCTTCAAATGACTAATAATAAGAGAAATGAACATTAAAACAATACTGAGATTTTACCTGATACCTAGTGAATTGGCAAAAATGACAAAATTTGGAAATAGTGTTGGAGGGGCTGCGGAAAGAGAGGAACACTGACACCTTTGGCTTGTGTTCAAGTTCCTCCACAAGATTGCACACATCCCCTTTATTCAGAAGATTTGTGGCCATCGTAGGAGTCAGTGTGATAAGAACGTGTAGGCAAATGCAAATGAATCAAATGAATTTGATTGACCTTTACTTAGGATTCAAAGGACTTGGGAGAATGGGTCCAGGAAAACAAGGTTAGTCCATTTACAGAAAAGGCCTGTCAGGGTACAATCTACAGGATGTACTTAACTACACGAAGCTCTTGTGCTTGAGTAAACATGTAGTAGGAATGTGTGAGCCCTGGAAAATAGTAATGTCTTTCCTCCTTTCTTTCTTCCAGTTTAATGTGAGGAAAAACCTTAAGCTACGAAGAGTGAGATGGGCTTCCTCAGAAGGTAGTGTATTCCCCTTTATGGTGGATTTCAAGCAGAGACTAGAAGATCACTTACCTGGTATGTCATAAAAATAAATGGTATTTTCTGTTTGGTTTTCTTTCATTCATTCCACATCCATTTACTGAGCCTTCCCCCTAAGTATTTAGGGAGGTGTGGGTAGGGTAAAGTGAATATAAATAAAAACACCTTTCATTTATAAAATACTTCACAATTTAGAAAGCACTTTTGTGATAATTGTATGGAAGCTCCATGGTAGCCCTCTAGACTCTGAATCCGGCAATGTTTTTTAAGGAAGTCATGTGGTACAATAGGGAAAAATAGGCAATGATTCTGGAATCATCCTGGAATGCCCTTCCTCCAGCTACAGACCTTCTTGGCTTCATTTAAGTCCCAACTAAAATCCCACCTTCTACAGGAAGCCTTCCCTAACCTCTCTTAATTCCAGTGCCTTTCCTCTGTTAATTATTTCCTATTTATCCAGCATATAGCTTGCTTTGTATATATTTATGTGTTGTCTCCCCCTTTAGATTATAAGCTCTTTGAGGGCAGGAACTATCTTTTTCCTCTTTTTTGTATCTCCAGTGCTTAGCACAGTGCCTACATATCAGGCACTTAATAAATGTTTATTGAGGGGCAACTAGGTGGTGAAGTGGATAGAGCACCGGCCCTAGATTCAGGAGGACCTGAGTTCAAATCTAGCCTCAGATATTTGACACTTACTAGCTGTGTGACCCTGGGCAAGTCACTTAACCCCATTGCCTAGCCAAAAAAGAAAAACAAACAAATAAATGATTATTGAATTGAACCTAGATGCCAATTCTGTCTCTGATGCTTAATACCTGTTTAGCTTGGACATATCAAGTAACCTCCCTGGGTTTCATCTGTAAAATGAGGGCTTAGACTACATGCCCTCTGAGGTTCCTTGCAACTCTAGAGCTATGATCTTATTGGGTCCTGTGAGATAGTAAGGGCAGAGAATTCCATTTCCACTCCCTCCCTCACTCCACACACTTATCATTTTCATATTGCAGATAAGAAAACTGAGGCTCAGTGAAAGAAAATGACGCAAAGTTACCCAGCTAGCAAGTGACAGGATTAGAAAGAATCCAGGTGTTCTGATCTCTTAATCCAGTGCTCTTCCCACAAAATCATTCCTGCCCTTGAGGAGCTTGTAAGTACAATTAACATACCATTTCACATTTTGCTATACACAAACACAAAGACAAGCCTTTACTTTCACATGGGCATTTTATTTGGGAAAAAAGAAGAAATAACATGAAATGATACATACAAAGATTATCTAGACACACTTGGACCTTTGTTTCATTTTTAAAGGACATGTTAATAACCCCAAATTTTCTCTAAGTTTTTATTTGGAACAAATAAATACAATATTAAACCTTTGATGGCAGAGAAATTTTGACTAAGTATTTCATATTCTGTTGAGTATTGGGCCTGGTTAATGTCTTAAGGGGTCATAAAATTGTTTACCTGTTTTAATCAATTAGAATCTTTTCAGGATAATTTGCTTTATGGATCTGTTATTTTACTAGTATGGGCACCTTCTCCATACCTCTTGTGTGGTTCTTCTTCATCGTCTTTTCATAAACCCTCCACAGATCAAGCCAATGATTTATTTTATACTTTTTACATCATACATTTGCTCTCTAACCTTTGTCCAACTTCACTATCTCCACAACTAATGGCAAAATGGCCTTTAACTCATTAATGACTAAAATTAGTTGTTTATGTAAGGTGGGTCAATTTTATAAATGAAAAGGAAAGTGAGACTCCATGGATTTTCCAAGAGCAAGCTAGCCCAATAATAACACAATCATACACTGCTGCTTATGTAACTTCAGACAGTTCATCACAGTACCATTTCCTTTGTTCTGGTCAAAAAAATAATACAGGTTCACATTGCCATATATCACAAAGCATCCAAATGGATTATACTATTACAGAGCAGCATGCATATATTGGTGGGTTAAGATGCTTTATGTTTGTTTCTCTTGATCTGATGAAGCGATTGAAATATAACCAAAGGCTCAATTAAAAATAATTTCAGGAATATTACAGATTTTAAAGAAACTTGTGCTGAAGGAAATAATAGTTTGAAATTAGAATACATATATATTTTAAAATTAAAGATTGTCACTAGCAATATTTGGTTCTAAAACAAAGATTCCTTATAAGTATGATTCACACACATTCCATTTTCACCGTATAGTTTATGTAGGCCTCTTCCTTATTCCTTTCCCATCATCTCAAACCCTAACTAGCTAACGTGTGCTCAGGACTTGTAAAATAATTGATATGAAAAAGAGATTACATGCTATGTTTAATTGTAATGGAAGATTTTTACTCTTATATATTTTCAAATCTTTTCATGCTGCCATACTATCTCCTAACTTGAAGGAAAAAATATTATTTTTTCCATCCACATGATTTCCTCCTTGGCAGTGTGCTTGTTAGAAATCCCTTCAAGATTTGGTAAAAGCCACAGGAGAGGGTTAAAAGATCCTTTTTACTGAAAGAATGTCTCTTGACTGCTTTTTATATTTTGTCCTCTTATCAAACTTTCAGAGGCTCTATTAGGAGGGAAATGATACTGTATCAGGTTCTCCTGGGTTCTCTTCTATCCAAAGAAGCAGAGCAAGTAAGTGAAAATAATCAAATAAGAGCTAGAAAAATTTTAATTCTATTTTAATTCATTTGACAAGTGAGAGAAACCGAGACCCAGGCAAAGGGCTAGTAAGTGGCAAGACTAGGATTAGAACTTATGCTGCCTTAATTGTTAACCCTCTCTATATAGTAACAAACATTTCTGCTAGGAAAGCAATAAGGGAACCTAAGCAAATAAATATGACAGTGAGGAAGGTAGATTTGTTACAAAAATATAATGCATCTTAACACTAAATATCATACTGCCTTGCATTTGTATAGCATTATTTTTAAAGCATTTCACATTTATTATCTCATTTAGTGCTAAAATATCTACTTAAAAGGGATAAAGGGAATTGTGTGAATAAATAGGGCAATTAGAAATTAGACATTTTCAAAATCACCATGTAAGCTAGGTAGTGTAAGCATTATTATCTTCATTTTATAAGTATGGAAAGAAAAGGTAATGTTTGTATTTGTTTATATTTTAGGTTATCTATGCCACTGCTTCTCTTCCATTAGTGTGAATAAATAGCTAATTATATACGCTGTTACTAGCCAGCATGAAAGCTTCATCCTTTTATTACTGACTGCACTGATGATCTGAACCCCAATTCAAAAGTACCTTTCTTTTCTGACTCATAAATAACCACTTACTTTCCCATTTCTTCCATAGAATGGTGATGGAATAGAGATCTTCATATAGGGCTGGCGGTCTTGGTGGTGGCAGAACACTATCAGGACCAAAGCTTGACTGCTGGTGATAATGAGGTGGCTGCTATGATAGGGCAAAACCTAATCAGACATAAGATGGGCAAGTTTTTCCCTTTTAGCACCAGAGCTAGCACCTGTAATGAGGCTGCTGGGTAAGGAGAGCTCTCCTGGAGCTCGATAACAAAAGGAGGATAACAGGGCCACATTACAAACTACGTTCTGTTTTTCGATTCTCTCTTCCCCTCATCCCCTTTCTGTTCCTCTCCCCAACCCTTGGCCCAGGACCCAAATTCCTATTACAGCTGTCTTCTTCCTTCATGTATCAGAATAGGGCTTATTCTAGGCAGATTGACTTTTAATACCATATGGGAAACAAAACCAGGTCAAGGATAGAAAAAAGGAAGAAAAGGAAGAAGAGACTATCTTCTTACCCCATTCATTCCTAGAAACCAATCATACTTGGGAGAAATAGACAGGGCTGACAGGAGGACCAGATGCACAGTCACATGTAGGCCCTCTCTGTGTGGGTTTTCTCCCACAACCCTATTCAAAGTGACACAAGTGATTTTTAAAAAAGAAATAAATACAACATATCACTGTGTATATGTCTTAAAAGACTTCCTGCCTTTGAAAAATAATGGGTTCTACTTGTGGGCTTAATGTAAAATGAGTAAGTTTACCAATTTCGATTTCCCAAACCAAACCTTGACCTCAGATGAACTTATCCTAGTCTGCCAATCCTTACCTTATTTACCATTAAAGATTGACAACTGTGGGGATGAGGAAGAGGCCCAGCAGGTTGTGGAATAAGAGATCAGATTGAAAGAGTTGGAAGATTATCTAGTTCATTCCTTATTCACATCATAAATCCTATCTACACCCCCAAGGACTGAACATTCAGTTCCCATTTTGAGACCTATCACGATGCGGGAATTCACTGTGGCAGCCAATTCCATTTTGGGACAACTTTAATTGTTTGAAAGTGTTTCCTTATGTTTGAATCAAAATCAGCTTCCCTTGTAAATTCCCACCCACAGCAAAATCTGTGATCAGGAGCCAAGAGTCTACCTCTTCCACATGACAATCTTTCAGATATCTGAACCCAGCAACCTTGCTAGGTAGGCCCTCTTCCCTCAATCATTCATGTCTTCTCTTTTCCAGGTGAAATATCCCTAGTTCCTTTAAATAAACCATGCCAAGGTCTCCTTTAGTCTCACTATCCAGGTCATCCACCCCTGGATGAAGGGTCAACCCCACTTGATAAGCAGTCTTTAGGCTCAAAATGAAAATGACGGTGGGAAGTTTCAGGTGTTTTCCCTTTTTTCCAGTGCCAATGAGTGAAAGAGGGAAAGAGGAGCCTTTTGCATGTCTTTGAATGAGAGGTTTCCTGGAAAGATCTGTGCTTGGGATCAGGCTGCAAATCTAAAGTTTACTGTTGTTAGTCCCTTTTTCAACTGATGGTGCAATAATAGCTGTTTGTACAGCAGGCAGGAAATAGCTCAGCGGGGAGTGAAACTGAGCTGCTATTAGTTTTGCCATTAGGCAATTAGCCTTCCCTCAAAAATCCCCAATCAGTTTTCTAAATATTCAAACCAGAAAATAAATAGATCCATGGCTGAAGGAGAGGAATGGGGGGTGGGGGTGGGGTTGTTGGCTAACACCTTTTTTCTCCTCCAAATGGATTCAAAACATGCCTTTATAGACTTGCCATTCACTCAGAGGAGGCCTAACTCCTGCTAAGAATATGATTCCCCTATTCCTTATCAAGTTTTGCTAAGCTTCCCTTGCTAATGCCACACCATTATTTTTCCAGTTCTGGCATCTCTTATGACCTTAGTTGTTTTTATTTTTGTTTTTGTTTTTTTAGGAGGAAGTAATTGGAATATTTGAGGTAGGAAGGAATATGGGGAATTAAGGGATAATAATGGTTGCTTTATGGTGGAAAAACAGTTATTTTGACCTTCCCTTTTCCAGGACCTATGTAATTATAGAAGGAGAGGAAACTATAAGCTTTGGATGTGCAATCAGACTTCAGAAATTCTACAGAATTTTGATTATTCTCTTCCGTTTTACTCTTTTGTGTAATGGCTGGCATAGTGATTACTAAGTGTTTCTTGGCCACATTCAACTTTTTTGCTTACTGGTTATTTGTATTTTTAATGATGGTTTCCTGGATACAGATCATTTCATTATGTCCTGAGTTGATATTCTTGCTATAGAATTTGATAAGGAGGGGAGGGGAAGTCTGAGAATAATTGACTAGACAGAATTCAACTAACTTAAACATCCCACCTGCAGTCTGGTAACTGAAATATTTTGTGGGGACTTTATGAATTTTATGAATAATCTGTATTTTTAACCTTTTAAACTTTGCAGAGAAAAAAAGCCACGTGGTACTGGGACCCTTATAGTAGGTTAAAACCCTCACGAACTAATTGAGAGGTTGTTTTGAACAAAGGTTCTTTGGGCTTTTTCTATCGCAACACTTCTCCCCGCCTTCTGTTCCCTCACACCCAGGAGAGAAGGAGGAGGGACTAGAGCTAAGGACCTCAAGTGAAGGTCACAACTTGAGCCAGCGCCAATGGGTGGAGACAGGTGTGATAAGGCAGAATCAGTTCTATTTATTTCTCCAATCCAGAGAGGGGGAGAATTCTCCTCTGTTAAACTATCCTCCATAGCAACACCTGCTGGGTATCAAGTATATATCTAAATTTCTACTAAAGTAAATCCAAAAAAGATATATTAAGCACCCATTACACTGTGATGGGAGCAATACAGAGTGCAGGTAAGGCACAATCCCTGCCCTCAATCTGGTAGATACAAAGTGTTGGCAACATTTCCCCCACCTCTACAACCGAATGACCCACAAAGAAATGCAAAGGTCCTTTCAAGACTAAACTACAGGTTACTTGAGGGTGATACTGTATATTTCCCACAGTGCCTAGAACATGGTAAATTCAGGCTGGTTATCTGAATTTTTATAAGACCATCATGCAAAATGTCATTAGCTCATTCATGCAGGGTACACAGATTATAACTTGTTTCACTTCTGGCTAGGGAATAATTGTGTTTTCCTCAACTCTCGACTGATGGAAAGTTGGTCTGAGGTGAAGCCTGTTTTTAAAATTTTTTTTTTTTTGCGTGAGGGTAGAACAAGGGTGTCAGCATATATACTGAATAATAATAACTGACATGGATACGATGCTTTTAAGGTTTGCAAAATGCTTTACACACATTGTCTCATTTGAGCCACATACAACCCTGTGCTTGTATTAAACACCATTCTTTTACAGATAAGGATATTGAGGCTCAGAGAGGTATCTGGACTTGCCTAAGTTCATACAATTACTAAGTCTCTTGAGACTGGACTTATACTTAGATCTTTCTTACCCCAAGCCTAGTAACTCCAGCCCATTAGGCAACACTGCCTTTATTTTTAGTTTAAAGATGACAGTAGGCTTAGACATTTGTTTAGTTAGCCTCTATGTTGCGATAGTTGATGGCTGGTGAAAAGTAGAGGCTGCTGGCTTCCAGTAGTGATTCTACATAAGAAATGGTGACTTCTAGAATGGAGGTGGGTTTTCTCTACTCACTGGCCCTGGGGACTTTGTGATGTTCAGCAAAGTTGGAAAGGGAACATCAGGGTGATTATGAAAATCCCACTGATTTTGGGGCACATAGCTCAATTTCATTTCATGCTAAAACTATCAAAAAATTTTTTTTAACCTTAAAGAGCTTAAATCCAACTGCTTCATTTAACAGATGAAAATGTCTATAAATTTCAGCATACATGCTGACCATAACTCTAATTTTGAACTGTTTTGAAGACCCAGGTAACAAAGGATAAGGATAACACAAGACATAATGATTAGAAGTACTTAATTAAAAAAAAAAGACTGTGTACTAAATGTTGATCCAGTATTCTACAAATTAAGAGCTGTAACACAACATATCTGTATTTTCTCATTAACTTATCTTAATGCTACCGAGAAAAATTGTGTCCACATGGCAGAGATAATTGGCCACAGAATTAAAATTCTGAATTTGGTCTCTGTGTGTGTCACCTGGTAATACCGGCAAGGCCCAGGCTTAGTCAGGGGATAAGGAAAAATCAGGAAGGAAGGAAGAGGAGGAAAAAGAAAGTTAGAGGGAAAAATAGAAGAAATGGGAGACAAGGAAAGAAAAGAGGAAAAAAAGAATATGCATGGAGAGGAGCTGCAGAATGCCTCAGATGCCACTCAGTAGCACCAATGCCCAAGGGTGCCTACCCTTGTCGCTGTAGCGTGCTTTTCTTTCATTTAGTACTGAATGATTAGGTTAAAAGCATTATGCAGATTAAATATCCAGTTAAGTCACTTGTATTCTCATAGGCTATGTCTGCACTATGGGAAACATCTAGATGACAAGTGGTGTGTTCCCAAATAGCTCGATCTTTGGTACTGGGGAGACAAAACAGAACTGATCTGATTTTTTCACTTTTCATTCTGTTGTTTTGGCACTATGTAGACAAAGCCACAGAGGTTTATAATTAGTCCAAACAGTGCATCTCAAAAGTGCAGTTCAAAGAAAATCTTGGTGAGCAGTAGTATGGTGAATTTAAAAGGAATGCAGAGCTCCAAAAAGCTTTTACCTTTTGTTAAAATGTTAAAAACTATTTTGAAAAGTGTTAAAACAACTTTTCAAATCATGATCATTGGTTGACAGTAAGAAATAATTTATGCTGGACAAGTAGTGATGGGAGTTTTAATTCATTTCACTACTTGTTGATCTTTTGGCTGGTAAATAACATATTTGTGGGCTGGTAAATACTTTGTAGTTGTTTTCCTAAGGCTGTTAAAGGTAAAGTGATGCTCCTCCATATGTGATGATGATACTACTGGCCCACCATAGGTAGGGCATGCTCTTTCAATAATTTTCCAGTCCTGTGGAATCCTTTCATACTCTCACCCAATATAGGGTTGGCAATACTGGCACATTTCTTTTGTTATGTCAGCAGAATGTCTCTGTAACAATTAGCCTAACTCAAAGCAGTGTATGTAAACAGAGCTAGGGCTTGATGAAAACAACTATACCTAAAAACATACCTTATGTACTAAAATCCCCTTTGTGGTTAAAAATGAACTTCTGTGGGAAGTAACAAGTTGATTACACTGAATAAATTGGGCAAGAAATTCCTATACGAAGGCAGTTAATGTCATTCTTGGTGACTGCCACTCAACTAAAGTCTATCAATCCACTGTTCACTGTGCATGCCAGAATCACACATGATGAAAATAAAAAATATGTGCACATTATTCATCAGAGAGAAATAATGTTACACACACACACACAAACAAAATAAAGTTAACATATTAGTGGTGTGAATAAAGAGTAAGCTATTAACGGAAATGAATGACCTTTGCAAAAATGGTCTCGCTGGGGCAAGAGTTTAAGGTTTCGATCTTAACAGCTAGCTGCCTTAGGCAGAGCCACACTTCTCCCGATGGTTGGGTTATCGCCGGTCACCTTCTACTCGTTTCTTGCGAACTAGGCCAAAGACAAATTAAAATAAATGAAAAATAAATTTAAGGAGAATAAATTTACTATTGGCAAAGCATTTCAGATTTTAAGTATTCACACACAAAATAGCAGTCCTATACAATATCCTATATACATTTAGATTGTAGTGATCAGAATTCTCAGTTATCGGAGCCTATGGATGACAGTATCATCTGAATGTTTAAAAAAATGATTTTGAGATGCATTTTAATATTTACATTAGAATTCTGGCAATGCAGAGTGTTTCATACTGTATTTCCATTCAGGAGGAGCCAGAAGGAAGGTCTAGCTCAGGGGTGGGGAACCTGTGGCCTTGAGGCCACACGTAGTCTTTTAAGTCCTTGCATGCAGCCTTTTGACTGAGTCCAAGTTTTATAGAACAAATCCTTTTATTAAGGGGATTTGTTCTGTGAAGTTTGGATTCAGTCACAGGGCCGCACTTGAGGACCTAGCCGGCCACATTGAGACTTGCAGGTTCCCCACCCTTGGTCTAGCTTCTCCACACTACTCCCAACTCAACTTCTCCTTACTCTCCACTTCAACACAGCGAAGGGATGGTATGTCTCTGAGATTATGAGAACACTCGCTAAGCTGCCCTCTTTTCATTTAAAATTTTCTGTCCAAGCAATTAATCAAATTAATTACTTTGTGTTTTAAAATGTCTTATCCTGATAGTGATTCTGATCATCCAAGAAAACTTCAACTTTTTTTTTGCCTCTTAACTCTTGCTGGTCCACAGTCATTATGTCACCTAAGGAGTTGTAAACAAAGTGATTCTCTCAGCCCCAAGACCACAGATCAAGGTTAAAACACAATTCTGACATCCTACTAGTATATAATTAAGGTAAGCTATATAGCAAAAGCTCTTTTACCCAACACAAGACTGATGAAAGTAGCACTTTATGCTCATGACATCAGAATATTTAATATTAAGTATCCAGTCAAGTCAATAAACATTTATTAAACACCTCCTATGTTCAAGGCACTATGCTAAGTCCTAGAACACAGGTTTTTAACCTGGGGTCTGTGAACTAATTCAATATTTCCTTTGTTATCCTATGTATTTTATGAATTTAAAAACATTATTCTGGGAAGGGGTCCATCTATAGGCTTCACCAGGCTACCAAAGGGATTCCATGACACCAAAAAAAAAAAAAGATTAAGAACCCCTGATCTAGATGTGGGTCTTACACAGTTATAATTATGAGTGCTTGAAGTGGGAAGTGCAAGAGAGAAACCAGGATGATATTAATAACTCTTTCTCTTACTGAAATTACCTAGAATACTTGTCACCAGGCACCAATTTTGAGGATTACATAACAAATTACTGTCATAGGGCCCCTGAATCTTTAATAGTAATCTGAAAATTGAGTTTGATTTTTTAAAAGCATTTGACTCAACAGAGCAAAATATAGCTTTAAAGACTTTCCTCCAACAAAGTATTCCTATGTATGTGTTACCATCATACAAAGGGTTACTTAAGGGATATAATCCTAGACAGAATTTAGTTTAATTTTCCATTGATTATGTGTATTAAATAAACCAAAAAAACCAGGGCACCAAATATGTCTGCTTATGGTATCAAATTCAAATAGAAACATTTTGGGGGAGGCAAAGTAACTTAGGAAATCAGAAATTAACATTATCTATGTTGTATTATATTTTGTTGTTACTCATTGCCCAATTACATTTTAATCTGGTTTGGTGGAACTTGGGAGTCAGATCAGGCCTGAGTTTGACACCTCTGTTATAGAGGTTGTTTTGAACACAATCCACAAAAGGAAGAAAGATTTCCTAGATGCTAAAGTCCAGCAGATGACCCCACTTTCAGATAACATTGGGTTGATTGCATTAACTCTAGAACACTATGTAGTTTCCTCAGTGAAATCTGCAGCTGCTCAGAAGAAATGAGTCTAGTAATCCACCGAGGAAAATCCAAGTAGATGAAGCATGTAATACACTGCTCATACTACTGCAAGCAGATGTATGAACAATTCATTGAGTCAGGAAATCGGGACATGTATCTTGGACGGGTACTGAAAATTAATCATACTCACACCCTATACAGATAAGGTCGAAATGGGTACATGTTTTAGACACAAGGGATGATACCATAAGCAAATTAGGAGAGAACGGAATAGTTTACCTGTCAGATCTATGGAGAAGGGAAGATTGTATGACCAAGCAAGATTTAGAAAACGTTATGAAATGCAAAATGGATAATTTTGATTACATTAAATTAAAAAAAGTTTTTGCACAAACAAAATCAATGCAACCAAGATTAGAAGGAAAGAAGAAAGCTGGGAAACAATTTTTACAGCCAATGTTTCTGATAAAGGCCTCATTTCTCAAATACATAGAGAACCGAAGATAAACTATAAGCTGGACCAGGACTGAATGAATAAGGGGAGGGCTGGATGGCATTTGTAAAACTGCATAGTATTTTTAAAGACCCCAAGCTGCTGTGATTTTACTGAAGGTATAAAAGGCTTTCTTTTGCTTCTCTACTGAAGTCTGTATCTGATATGTACTGTCCCTAGCAATTTCAGATTTCATATAACCTGGCTAATTCAGATTGTTTGCTTTCTGCAAAGCCACTATTGACTCTGTAAGTTCTTTACCTACTTTTCTGGAAAAAAAAATAGTAGAGCTCTCAAATAATTTATAGTGACAAATCTTTCATGGGGATACAGCATGCAGTGTAGAAAGCCCATCTACACTGCCTTTTATGATTTAGGAATGACAAGTTCTGTGTATGCTGTGTATATCACACTCAACAGCCTCCAAGGTAGGGTTACATCTTCTGATGAAAGTTAATTGGTACATTTTTGGTCTATTACTGATTAAACTAATTAATATGTCCCCTGCAGAAAGGGTTCAGCTCCTGACACAAGCTAGGTTTGAAGCTAAGACCAGCCTGACATGGAGGTCCATTAGGGAATGTCATCTCCATTCATAGCAATTTCTCTGACTCTGTGATAGACTTGGAGCCCCTGGAACGACCCTTAAGAGGCCAAGTCCAACCCTGCTCATTTTACTGTAAAAACTGAGGTCCAGAGAGGTTAAAATGACTTGTTCAAGGTCACAAAAATAATAAGTGGAATAATCAGAATTTGAACCTGGATCCTCTGGTTCTAAGTCCAATACTTTCTACTTTACCAGGCTATCTCCCTTAAGGGAGCCAGAGTTAGACCACACCAAGGTTGCTATTTCTTCTATTTCTTTGTGATAAAGGGCAGACCACTACAAAATTAAATAAATAATTTCAAGTCCTAAGTACCATCATTCAGAGTCTTTTGAGAAATTGTGCTACTCAATTTTGCCTCAACTTTTTTTTTCTTTCTAAATTGTAGTTGGCCAACTGTATTCAAGGGTACAAAGAACACACCTTCACCTTGAAAATCTGGTGCAAAAGTCCAAAAACAGTCAAAATTACCTACTGTGAGGTTCAACTGGGACATGCGGTTTTACTCTTTGAAATCAACTATTAGCTATAAAAATGCATCAACTTAGAGAGATGCTAGGTTTCAAAATGTCTTACATGAAAAAAATTGCCTTAAGCTTCATGGTTGGGCTTTGGACAATGAAGATTAGAAGAAGAAGGGAATGGTTGGTTAATCAACAATCTTTTGCTTTCAATAAGTAATTTTAACGCAAACTTGACAGGTAAGTGTTTCCTTGTTTCAAATTATTTGTGTTATTCTGGTGGGTGTTTTCCAGTCACCACAATTAGGGCACCTTTAATGGCAGCTCATTCAGACAGAAAACCATTCTCTCTTTCCTGCCTACCATGTTGCCAGATGATTTCTAGAAGCACTTCTCTGCCTTTACCACTCACTATGCTCATGGATTCAACCTTTCTGTTTCATAAAAATACTATACTATTGTTTTTTGAATTTTCTGATACTTCAGGTCATCTGTAATCTCATCAATGTAGGGACTCCCTCCAATGGTAATGATTCCATGCAGTACTTGCCCATGTCCCCATATAAATCTTCCACAGGGGGTCTGCCTAACATGCCGAGTTGTTCTTCTAGATCTCTTGACATTGCCTGTATACCAATGGAGACAGGTGGAGGTGGTGCAGTGAACAGAGTGCTAGGTCTAGAGTCAGAAAGACCTGAGATCAAATCTGGCGTCAGACATTTACTATTTATATGACCATGGGCAAGTCACTTAAACTGTTTGCCTCAGTTTCTGCAACTGTAATATGTAGATAATAATAGCACCTACCTCTCAGGGTTATTGTGAGGATCAAATGATGCTAATAGTTGTAAAGCTTTCAGCATAGTTCCTAGCATGTAATAAACACTATATAAGTGCTTGTTTCTCTCCATCCCCTTCCCCCAGTGGAGCATGTCAGCTACCCATCAGTGGCTCTTGCCACAGAATGGTTGAATAGTCAGATTCAAAGAGTAATTGTTAATGTTTCAATGACAACCTAAAAGGTCTCCAGGGGAGTGCTCCAGGGATCTCTGCTTGATCCTGTGTTGCTTAACATTTTTATCAATGACTTGGATAGAGGTATATATATTCTCATCAGATTTGCAGATGACGCTAAGTTAGGAGGGATAGCTAACATACTAAATAACAGGGTCAGGATCCAAAAAGGCCATGACAAACCAGATTATTAGACTGAATCTAATAAGATGACATTCAACAGCAATAAATATAAAGTCTTATACTTTGGTTCAAAAAATCAGCTTCGTAAGTACAGAATGGAAGAAGCATTGGTTAGACAGCAATTTGTCTGAAAAAGTTCTGAGTGTTTTAGTGGACTGCAAACAGTGTAATATAGCAGCCAAAAATGTGAAGTGATTTTGGGCTGAATTATGAGAGGCATGACTTCCAGGAATAAGGAGGTGAGAGTTCTTCTATTTTCTACCCAAGTAAGGCCACATATAGAATACTGTGTGTGGTATGAGGCTCCTCAGTTTAAGGACTTTGATAGGGTAGAGAGCATCTGGAGGAGAGCAACCAACACGGTGAAAAGCCTATCATTTGAGGACTGGTTGAAGGGATTGGGGATATTTAACCTGGAGAAGACAGCATTGGGAGAGGAAGGATATGATAGTTATCTTCAAGAGTTGGAAGGCTGCTATGTTAAAGAGGGATTAAATTTACTCTGTTTGGCCCCACAGACAGAACCAGAAGCTATGAGTGGAAGCAGCAAACAGGTATCTTTAGTTTTGAGATCAGGAAAAAAACATCCTAATAATTAGAGTTGCCCAAAAGTGGAATAATCTGTCTTGAGAGGTAATAGTTACCCTTCATTTAGGGGTGTGTGTGTGTGTGTGTCTTCAAATAGAGGTTTGATGACTATTTATTGTTGTTCAGTCATTTCAGTAGTGTCTGACTCTTCTTGGCAAACATACGGAGTGGTTTGCCATTTCCTTCTCCAGCTCATTTTACAAATGAGGAAACTGAGGCAAATAGGTTTAATGGACTTGTCCAGGGTCACATAGCTAGTAAGCGTCTGAGGCCCAATTTAAACTTGGGAAGATGAGTCTTCCTGACTCCAAGCCTGGAGATCTATCCACTATGCCACCTAGCTGCCTGACCATTCGTTGGGTATATTATATTGGGAATTCTCTTCAGGTACTGTTTGTACTAGGTGGTCACCAAGGTCTCATTCAACTCTCAGATTCTGTGATTCTGTGAAGGAATCTTGTATTACTTCCATATGAATACAAGACATATGGCTGAAGTATTTAAGCCAATATTTTTGCTCTAGCATGGCTCTTTATAGTCAAACGGGACCTTGTATTCCTCATACTATTCAGGCAATTGTGTGACTGTAAAGATGTGGTCTGCTGTAGAATACTGTTTACAAGAACCTGACTGCTCCCTTCTGATGCCTTCATCAAGGATGCCATCAGTTTCTCAGAGATTTTTGAAGAGATAGCAAAGCAACATATGAGTTGATAATAATGTACAAATTACTTGGGACAAGCCATGATTTCTATATGATTTCATTTTGTAAAAGCAATGGTCATGCGTGTGTGGGGGCTATTATGAAAGTAGGATGACTCAGAACCTTGGTCACATGATACCCCCCTGAGCTGATTACTTGACTTTTGTTAGCTTTTCATCAGCTGAGTACTATAAATTTAGTGGCACACACAAGTGGGCCAGCTATCTTTTGTCCAGTTTTTAATTCTGTGGTTTTAAAAAAATAGATGTTAGTCCAAGGAAAAGTGGAAACATTACAGTTCTTAAAGAGCATACTTTGATGACTGCTAAAGATACTGCAACGGCTGCTGGTGTGAAAGTCAAGCATTTCAAGGACCATCCAAACTCGTGACAAAATAGGATCATTTACACAGAACAAAGGAAAGTGCAGTCTAAAATGAAAAGCAACTCCAAGAACTAACAACACATCGCTAAAAAAAAAAAAACAAACCGTCAAATGAACTCTTAGAAAATAAATAAAGACTTTCGGAGAGACCTGGCAATTGTAGAGGTTATTACCGATTCATCTACCGTGTGGTATAGGCCTCTTGAAGTTGGAAGAAGAGAGAAAGGAATAGTTAAAAAAAAAACCCAGCTACTAAACTGTTAAAAAAGAAAAAAAATGGTCACAGGCAAAACAATACAAAGACTGGAGAATAAACGGGGAAATGGCAATTTCTTGCTGATGAAATTCATTTTTTTATTCAATGCTGTATTAAAACTATTGTCAGAAGTCAGCCTCTAAGACTCCGAAAGATTTGGGCCTCTTCATCAAACTGTAAGCCATCCACCCCACTAAAAAAAGTCTGAGAGATTTTTGACTTCTAGTGGAAGTCTTGTCCCCATTGAGAGAAAGATGAACTCTGATAAACACACTTCTATACTAAGAAAAAAATTGTTTCGGAATTACTTGAGGCAACTGGTGGCGCAGTAGCTAGAATGCTGGGTCTCGGTCAGGAAGACCTGAGTTTAAGTCTAGCCTTGGATGTTTATTAGCTGTGTGACCCTGAGCCAGTAACTTAACTTCTGTTTGCCTCGGGGACAATAACAGTACCTACTTCACAGGGTAGTTGTAAGGATCAAGTGAGATAATGTTTGTAAAGGTACTTCACACAGTGCCTGGCTCATAGTAGGTACTGCTTCCCTTTCCTTCCCTTTCTATATTTTCATGTAAATGCATCAGGGACTATTAAGGTAAATTTAAACATGTTTGCAACTTTCCCATTAATTACCCTTTAAAAATTATCAGAGGAGAGTGCAGGGAACTCTGGATCTTACGGCTGATCTAAAACTGACTTTAACTTAAATGTTAGCAGCTTTTTGATTCTCTAAAATTTCATGCATCAGGAGCAAGAGTCATAACCCAATGAACTCTCTTTTTCTTTACTAGGGCTACTCACACTGTTCTCCTTCTGACTTCCTTATGGCATTAGACACTCTGTTTTAAATAACTCTTTTAATTGCTAATCTATTAATTTTAATTACATTTCATAGACTATCAAAAGATAAGAAGACCTAGTTTTGAGGTTGCCCTTCTTAGGCAAAAAACCTAAATTACTTCACCAATTTTATAAAAGATATATTTCAGAGGGCTAACAAGATTAAAGGAAAAGAGTAGGAATATTTTAGCCAGTGCTTACTAGCATGAAAGTAGTGCTATCCACCTCCAGCATTAAATGGAGAACAGAGGAAAGCTAAGTGGGGAGGCTGCTTGGACGTTCTCATACCATTTTAGGCACTTCTAAGTTGGATCTTCACAGCGACTTAATTATTTTGTTTGTGAATTCCCCAGATCAAACATATCGATATTCAAATGCAAGAACAAATATTAGTCCTAAAAGTCAAATGTAAGTGATTTAGGAAATAACTTCCTGTTCCCCTCCTCTGGTACAGATAGCCAAGGACTATGTATAAATATTAATGCATTTAATTTGAGTCAATAAACATTTGTTAAACACCTACAAGGTACAGTTAAATAAGATATTTAAAAAAAAAAGAAAATAAGATGAAAACCAAAGGTTATTTGGTAAGAAGAGATGAAATTCTTATTTTGATGGTATGGTTTAAGTCAAGGATTCTTAACCTTTCCTGTGTCCTAGACCCCTTTGTCAGCCCAGGGAAGCCTGTGGACCCCTTCTCCAAATAATATTTTGAAATGCATGAAATATACTACATTGGATTATGTGAAATCAATAAAATTAAAAAATAGTTATCAAAACATTAGGAAAAACCCAACAAGTTCATGGAACCCAAGCTAAGAACACTTGGTTTATGTGAACCATAAGCATTGAGTATTGGGATGATTCTATTATCAATGAATTTGGTGAAGTACTACTAAATGACTCTGAGGGTAATAGAAATGGTTATCTATTAAAGTATGTATCTGAAATGTAAAGATGGAATTGTCTAAAAAGAGCCACCATGTTGTTATAGTTTTTAACATCCTATCATCCATTACATGCAAAGCATCTAAAAAGCAACACAATAACCATTGTTAAAATTATGGTATTTTACCTAGATCATTATTCTTTGTGATAGCAGCTGCTACCCTGGTTCTTGGCCCTTGTTTTGTAAACTGGTATCCAAACTTAAGAATCATTGAGTTCTCCTCAAGCATCTGAGCAATTTCCATTTCTACAGCCGTTCCCAACTGCTGTCTCTGGTTTGTGAACAGACATATACATACATATATACACAGAGAAGACATACCAAGAAAGAAGGGAAAACATTTACTTTCATAATATATAATTCAAATAACTAACAAGCATAATGAAAAAAAGAATAGGTATATCGTGGCTTTTAAAAGGCTAAAAACAAAAAAACTGGTCAATTTGTAACAGTCTACCCAACTGCAGAAGACTCTGCTTCACACAATGTCATCAGAGTTATCCTCATATATAGAAAGTTTAAAAGTGAAGATCAGTTAACATGTGCTTGCCACCTGACCTCCTAACCTTTCCAGATTGAAGAAACTGGGCAAATCATTTATGAAGAAGAGAAAAGAGAAATGGGAAGAAAAGTAAAACCTAGGCTAATATTTAGTGCTTCTTGTATTCTACTGAATGTCTGTAAGGGAGTCAGCATGATGTAATGGAAGGAGCCTTGGAGACAGGAGACCCTCTGAGATCTTAATGCTTGCTTGGGCACTAATCTAATTAAATGACCTTAAGCAAATTGCTTTACCTTTTGGTAGAATGATGAAGTTAGACCAAATGTTCACTAAAATATTTCTCTTTTAACACAGATAAATAATCAAATGGAGTTTTCAAAAATTAAATGACTTGATATTAACTAAAATAATCATTGAATGTGTCTCCTATGGGTGAAAACTGGAAAAAATCAATAAAATTAAACTCCACAAATTGGTCAGTTTGATCTCTTCCTAAAGCACAAGTCTGACCATGTCACCCCTAGACTCAGAAATGTTCAGAGGCTCCCTGTTGCCTCAAGAGAAAAACACGGACATTTCTACTTGGCATTTAAACCCCTTGATGATCTAGTTTTGGCCTACCTTTTCATGCTTATTGAATACTCTCCGTTTTCACATACTCTACATTCCATCCAGATTGGCCTACTTTCCCTAAATGCAGCATTACAACTTCCACTTCTGTGGCTTTATACAGGGCTCCTCCATGCCTAGAATGCACTGTCCTCTTACCTCTGTCTTCTAGAAGCCCTAACTTTCCTCAAGGTCCAATTCAGGTAATAACAATAATATCAATTTCTCATGTAATCAGCTTCTGATAATAATAACAACAATAATAGCATTTACATGGCATGTTAAGATTTGCAAAGTGTTTTACAAATATCATCTCATTTTATCCTCATGACAACCTTGGAAAGTAGATGCTATTATTATTATTATTCTCATTTTACAGATAAGGAAACTGAGGCAGACAGGTGACGTGACTTGCCCAAGGCCACATAACTAGCTAGTATCTGAGGACAGATTTGAATTCAGGTGTCACTGACTCCAGTCCAACACTCTAAGCTGCCCACTGATTCTCCTTTACAGTTATTGATCTTTCCCTCAAATGATTTAGTATTTCTCTAGCTATTTACATGTTGTATTTCCTAGTACAATGAAAGCTTCTTGAAGGCAGTGATTAGTTTTCATTTTGTCTTTGTAGGCCCAGGACTTTTATGTGTTTTGCACAGAGCAGGTGTTTAATAAATTCATTTGATTTGGATAATACATAAACTGAAGATGACAATCGTAATCCGATTATTTTTTTCATTGCTTGTTACAATTGGTTGCAAGTCCAAATGAATTACCTAATTGGACATCACAATAATTCCTCAACTTTTAAAAAAATTGTAAGCATTTTTGGATTAAATTGAGGGAAAACATTTTTAATAGTGAGGCACAAAGTACTTAGTGACGAATTAGAGAGAGGAAATAAAACATAGGAAATAATGAAGATGAAGGGCCCACCTAGAGGTCAGGGGTGTGTGTGTGTGTATGTGTGTGTGTGTTACAGACATTACAACTGCATTTCTCTCCTCTTCTCTCCTCTAGCAGAAACTAAGGGTTACTCCATTTGTTTGAATTTATATGTTGTTAAGTTTTCCCATCGTCGCTAGAAAGAGTTTTAGAAGCAGTTTTTGAAAACACCACAAGATGGGGATATAACTCTATGAAAAATGACTACTCACTAAACATGAAAAGATCTTCACAAATTTCTAGGTCTGTAGTTTAATTTTTTTTTCTGGTCTGAAAAGATTGTGCACTCTCTCCCCCCCACCCCCCACCCCCACCCCCAGGTCTCTATGTATCCACCTTCTCTTTGTAGTATAAATACTTTTCTACCAACTTTTTTCTTTTTCTTTTTTTCTTTTTTTTGGCTAGGCAATGGGGTTAAGTGCCTTGCCCAGGGTCACACAGCTAGTAAGTGTTACGTGTCTGAGGCTGGATTTGAACTCACATCCTTCTGAATTCAGGGCCAGTGCTCTATCCACTGCGCCACCTAGCTGCCCCATTCTATCAACTTTTTTCAAAGCTTTATTTGCCCATATTTTTTATCTACAGGATTACTATTTTACAAGGAGGATAGTGTTAAATAATTTAGGTCATGAACACTAGGATTGTGTTGCTGGTATTCTACTCAAATTCACTGCCATTGATCTGAATATTTCATTTGGACAATATGCCACTTATGTTTATACAATGCCATACAGTTTAATAAACATTGTCTTATCCATTATATCATCTGATTTTCACAACGACCCTGTGCGGTAGTCAGGACAGATATTATTATTATAAGGAAACTGAGTTTCAGAGAGGGTGTGTGATCTGACCAAGATCAAATAGCTAATAAGAGGTAGTGTTGAGACACACATCTAGATTTTCTGACTCAAAGTTTAGGCTGGGGAATCATACTGCCTCTCATTTACATAAAAACTACTGGGACTTTCCTACTAAAATTATTTTGTTTGGAAGTTTTTCTGGGGATTATTACAATGAGATTTTATCATGGCACATAATCCTTTCTCCCCTTGGTTTCATATTCTTGTGTCTGCCATTTAATTGATCTTAATTTAATCTGAGTTTCAGTTTCCTCATCTATAAAATGGGGATGATAATAATACCTGCATTACTTACTTCATAGGGTTTGGGAGTAAGGCTTTTTGTAAATAGAAAAGTGCAATATAAAAGTAAACTCATTTTTTAGAAGTGTCCCACTTCTTACCCTTAAATTTACATGCAAGTCATTTCATGGAATCATAGGACAGAGTGATGGGCTGGAATCAGGAAGACGTGAGTTCAAATCCAGGCTCAGACACTTACTAGCTAGGTGATTCTGGGTAAGTCACTTAATGTGTCTGTCTGCCTCAGTTTCCTCAGTTATAAAATAAGGCTAACAACACTTACCTCTCCAGGTTGTTATGAAGATCAAATAAGATAATACTTGTAAAGTGCTTAGCTAAATCAATGTGTGTTTCCTTTTTAAAAAATCATCTTCTAGTCTAATACTGTTATTTTGCAGGTGAAGAAATTGAGACTCTGAAATGGGCAAGGACTTGTCCAAGGGTCACATAAGTAGGGATTCCGATCCAGGTTCTCTGGTTCCAAACTAGAGCTATTCCCACTTTATTACATTGTACATTTGCCTGATTTGTTACATGCTCCTTCGAATCTTCTATTTTTTCATAAGTGATACCTGATGGAATTATACTTAGCAGAGCTTTATTGACTACTTCTCATTTATCCGGTGCCTTGTTTGTAAAGGGTTCTTGGTCATCACCCAGTGGATTCTCAGTAGGAATGCACTTTGGTACTTCTGTCTGTTACTTACCATGCTATATTAGTTTCAGCTCCCAATTATGCCTTTGGAACAAAGTTGTAACAGAGTACAAGCTCTAATTATGGATTTCTGCATTCTATTGAATTTAGCAATTCAGCTAAACCAACAATGAATGCCCTTTCCCTCTTCTTGTCATAAGGAGAGAGAAGTACAACAGGGAAGTCAAATATAAGACTTTGGTAAATCCATTCCAGGGTGACTTAAGGTGAACTATGAGGTGAGTAACTTGAGAGGGATTTCAAGTGGCAAGTCGGGCTGCATGTTCATATTTTCAAAGATCAAAACTAATTGAAATTTCTGAAGGTCCAGATTATTAGGTAGATTTTAAGAGCATGGAATGTCTAAAAATGGGGATTTAGGGGTACGGATTCTGGAATGGGGTTTTGAAATTATCTAAGCCATCTCACACTCAAAAATGTAAATACACTTTGAAATAAGCAGGTCTTGGGTCTCTTAGCAATATTTCACTAGGGTTTTGAAAAAAGCCTCTCCCTGAACTTTTCATTACTTCATAATTATTCTCAACTTGTTCCATTTAAACATTCGGCCACTCTACCTCTTCCTTACCCTTCTTTCTTGTTTCTCTTAATAGCCCCTAGCCCCTCTCCTTCCACCTTTGTCCTGGGTACTCAGCAATAGACAAAACATGGTGATGTGTGGACTGGTGTAGCAATTCATGGGAAAATTACTCACTGGATGTCCCTAGTTGAACATAATCCTGAATTTGGCCAGACTGAAACTAAGAAATTGGTTCTATGGCATTACGGGGAATTAAATTAGAATTGGGCTAGGAGGTGAGGGGGCCCAATTTCAGTTCTAGAGATGTACAGGTACACAAGAAGGACGATTCTGCCTTGCATATCCTCTTTCCCATCTCTTCCTACACCTTGACTGAACTCCAAACAGTTCAAGGAGGAAGCTTAAGGAATAAAGAAGTTTGAACTGAACTAGGCTGTCCAAGACTATAATGAACTGGATCAGAAAACTGAGGAATACCACAGAACTGCAAACATCCCGCCCCTTCTCCTCACCCCATACCCTTGGACCTAGTTGGGGCAACAGACAGATCCAGCACAAGATATTCAGGAGACTTCCAGATTAGACCTTCAGTTCTCGTCCATGGAGCTAGCAAGATGGCACCCCCTTGTCTCTAGCAGATTTCTCCCTCTATCATTCCTCCTCTCTCACTAATCTTTATTCCCCTTTTGCCTCTTGGCTGCCTCCCTGCTGCCTACAAACATGCCCATTTCTCTCTCATCCTTTAAAAAATCCTTATTTGATCTGTCCATCCCTGCAAGATATCATTTTATATATCTCCTCCCTTTTGTAGCTAAACTCCTTAATGAGACTATCTATAATTGATGCTTCCATTTCTCCTCTCACTCTCTTCTCAACTTTCTGCAGTCTGGCTTCCAATCTCTGAATTCAACCAAAATTGTTCCCTTCAAAGTTACCAGTGGTCTCTTAATTGCTAAATCTAATGGACTTTTCTCAGTCTTCATCCTTCCTCACCTCTCTGCAGCCTTTGACACTGTTGATCACCCTCTTCTCTCTCGGCTTTCCTCTTACCTGTTTGCCTACTCCTCAGTCTCCTTTGTTGGATCTTCATCTAGGTCATGCCTGCTAATGATAGGTATCCACTAAAGCTCTGTTCTGAGCCCTTTTCTCTTTTTCTCCTGTACTAACTTGCTTGATAATCTCATCAGTTCTTATGATAATCTCATCAGTTCTCCCTTCCCTCCTTGGTACTCTCTTCTCTCTAGGGTTTTGGGACATCACTCTCTCCTGGTTCTTCTCCCACTTATCTGACTACTTCTAAGTTTCCTTTGCTATAACTTCATCTAAAACACTGCCTCTAACCATAGGGGTCCCACAGGGTTCCATTCTGGGCCCCCTTCTCTTCTGCTTCTATACTACTTCATCTGGTAATCTCATCACTCTCATGGATTCAATTACCATCTTTATAACAATGATTCACAAATTTACCTTTCTTCCCCCAATCTCTCTACTGATCTCCAATCTCAATAGCTTTTCAGATATCTTGAATTAGATGTCCACTAGACATCTTAAATGCAACATATCTAAAACAGAACTCATTATCTTTCCCCCTAAATCTTCTTTGCCTCCTAACTTCCCTATTACTGTAGATGGCAACAATATCCTCCTGATTCCTTGGGCTCTCGAAACCTAGGAATTATCCTCAACTCCTCACTATCTCTTGCCCCCCCTTCCATATCCAATCTATTGCCATAGCCTATTGATTTGCAAAATCTCTCATATATACCCCCTTCTTTTCTCTGATGCTGCTACCACCGTTGGGGAGGCCCTCACCTCCTCACACCTGGATAATTACAAAAGTCCGCTGGTGAGTCTGCGAGCCTCAAGTCTCTCCCTACTCCAATCTATCCTCCATTCAGCCACCAAAATTTTCCTGACTCACTTCCATGTCATTCCCCCTCCTCCAAATAAATTTTAATGGCTATTACCCCCAGGATCAAATGCAAAATCCTTCTTCATCATTCAAAGCCCTTCATAAGCTAGCACCCTCCAACCTTTCTAGTCTTTTTACACCTTACTCCCTGACATGTGCTCTTCAATCCAGTGACGCTGGCCTTTTGACTTTTTCTTGAAAAAGATACTCTAACTCTCATCTCTACTTTTTCTGGCTGACCTCCATATTTGAAATACTCTTCCTCCTCATCTCCACCTATTGACTTCCCTGGCTTCCTTCAAAGCTTCAACAAAAATTTCATCTCCTAAAGAAAACCTTTCCCAATCCTTTTTTTTTTGTGGTGTACTTTTTTTCTTTATTTTTTAAAAATTAATCCCAATCCCTCTTAATCCTAGTGCCTTCTTTCTGTTAATTATTTCCTATTTCTCCTGTAAATAGTTTGTCTGAACATATTTATTTGCTTCTTGTCTCCCCCATTAGATTGTGAGCAGGGATTGTCTTTTGCCTCTTTTTGTATCCCTAGTACTTAAATGTTCATTGATTGACTGTCTGAATTTAGAGTAGGGACCTTTATGGCTGTTGTGACCTTGCCTGAACATCCTCTCTTCCTCAAGAAGTGGCAGGTGGCTGATTATAGCCAGCAGTATGAAGGAAAGGAGAATAGGTGGAGAATTGTTTGGGAGTCAGCCTGGGTGACTGCATTAGGCCAGACGGTTTGCACTTGCTCACCCTAGAACTAGGTCTATCCATGTTGGATATGTTGGCAATATTTTACACAAAGAAAAAGAAGCATTTTTTAAAATGGTATCTGAGTTCCTGGGTATGGCAGTTTTCTTTCCCTTTCTTGACAAGAACAGGATTGAAGGGACTGGGGGAAAGTCAGGGATGAACCTGGGCTGGGCTGGGTCTGGGACCCTGCCTTAGGAGAAAATGATAACAACAGCGTATCAACATTATTTGCCTTGTCTCCTCAAATGCTTCCCTAATCCTAGACTAGAGAGTTTTCTCTCCCCACAGCATGTATACGCTTTGGGCCACAACTCCCTCATTCTCTGCATAGCAGAAGCAATTGCAACATACAAAGAGATGCTTGAGTTTACCTGGTTGTCTATCTTGACCTCCGTCAGGGTCTCGTTTTCTTTCAGGGCGTCCACCAGTGCCAGAATCCCAGTTCCAGTGATAAAGTTGGACTCAATATTTAGACTTTTCAATGTCTTGTTTACTTTTAACATATCTGCGAAAGCCTGAACATGCAGGGAAGAAGACTCCATGAGCATTTCTGAAGGTTTCTGTGTAGAAGCACTCAGCATACTGAACAGAGACATTTGATTACCACTTAATCAAGAAAAAATCTGGGTCCTAATAACCTATTTCCCAAGTAGGATGCGATATAAGTCTCCAGGGCCTCAAGCAGTCTGGAAATGAGAGCTTCTTTACAGCAAGGAAAATCAATTCTAAAGACTCTTTAGAGCTACCTACCTCTATCTCCCCTCCCATTCCTTTCCACTTTCTTTTATGTCTTGTCTCTATTAGAATAAAAGCACTTTGAGGACAGGGACTGTCTCTCTGTTTCTATCCGTATCCCTAGTGCTTAGCTTAGTACCTGGCACATAATAAGCATTTAATAAATGTTTGTTAGCTGATTTATTTATGGAACTTAGTGCCCTTGCTCAGCAAAACTTCCTTATGATCTGCCTGAATGATTTCTCCTGAGGTGCTTAAAAATTCTGGTTATTTGATGTCTCCTGGTAGTTGAAATCCAGTCAAATGTTTTTTTCCCCCATAAAATCATAACTAATGTGTGTTTACTTACTATGCAGAGGATTCCTTACCTATATTAAGAACAGGGGGCAGCTAGGTGGCACAGTATGGAGCACCAGACCCTGGAATCACGAGGACCTGAGGTCAAATCCGGCCTCAAACACTTAATAGCTGTGTGATCCTGGGCAAGTCATTTAACCCCGATTGCTTCCCCCACCAAAAAAAAATAATAATAAAGAATACATAATAGGAAAAAAGATGTTATATAGGTTGTCCCAAAAAGTCTTAGGGCAGTTATAAGCAGTAACTGCTTGAAACTTTTACTCTGAGACTCTTGGGATACCTTGAATTTGTTTCTAATGAGTTGGGTTTTTCAAGTTACATTTTTAAGAGTGTTACTTACAATTGCAACAGGGTCGTTGCTGCGGGTGGCAGCCAGGCTGAACTTTTTCACATGAGTGTTGGTCTCTAGAGCCTTTGCAAACTCCTTCAGGGTTGGAATTGGAATATTCTATGATAGGAGGAAATTTAAGGCCATTAGACAGGCATTTTGAATTACAGACTCCTGACTTACAAAAGGTCCCATTCATCTAAAGGGATAATTTTCAACAGTCCATTTGTCCTCTGTTACTCTTCATTCTGGATAAGGGCCAAGTTTTAGCTTGGACAGACTGTACCAACTCTTTGACCTTTTGATGCCTCCTTTCTATCACGTATCACTTAAATATACCCTATCACTTCCTTTCTCTTCAATTAGGGGGTTCCTACATCTACCACTACCACTGCTTATAGTCCAGATAATTAAAGAATTACTGAATTTTTGTGTTGGGAAGGACTCTAGTGGCCATCTAGTTCAATCCATTCCCCCCCCCAAAAAAGTTCCTCTAAAACAATATCCAATAAATGGGCATCTAGCCTTCCCCTACTATGGAGGAACCCACTCTGTCTTTGAATAGCTCTAATTGTTAGGGAGTTTTTCCTTACAACATGCTTAAATTTGCTTATTTATAACTTCCACAAACTGTTCTTATTTCTGTTTTCTGATGTCAGGGAGAACAGGTCTCATCCCATTTTCCATGGAACAGTCCTTCAAATACTTAAAGGCAGCTAGAATTTTCCTCCTGAGTCTTCTCTTCTTCAGGCTATATATGCCAATTCCCTTACTCAGCCAAGGAAGGAATCAGGACTACCTGAATACCAAACTCAAGAAGAGCTATAAAATTGGGAGCTCATATGACATCCTACTTGCCCATTTCTGGACATACTCCAGCTTACCATTATCTAAGTATTAAACCATGGTGGTCAGAAATATAGAACTCTAGATTCAGTCTTCCCAGGATTAGAGTACAGTAGGAGTATCACCTCCTCATTCCTGGAAGTTAGATGTTTTCTTAATGAAGCTTAAGATGGCATACTACCCTCCCAGAGGACTGTTACAAGTATATTTTCTTTAATTCCTCCTTTCCTTGCTTCCTAATCTTGCCCATTTATCTCAAGGAAAAATCTTTCTCCTTCTACCTCCATTTTCTCTTTTTTCCCTGTCTTCATTCCATTTGTGATGCCTCAAATGATCTTAAACATGTCTACAAATGCAACACAGATTTATTAAGCACCCATACCCACTGTGTATAAAGTACTGTGATAGGTGCCAGGGTTTAATGAAAAGCTTAAGTGTGGTACTAATGATACATCTATATTAAGGAAAAGGGAAGCTATAAATTTTTCCACAACATTAAACATTATAAAGGACCAGTACCATCAACCTCTAAAATCCTTATAATTGGCCAGAAGTCCCTTTTAGAAGAGCCACAAAAAATTTTCTGCTTCATCTTCCAATAATTCCTATTTTTCCTCAAGCACTTGCTTTTAAGACAAACAAAATACTAAAATCTACTGTTTTCTGTTTTATCCAATTGTCAATTACTAATACTTTGACAATATTGTTCCCCAATACTTTTCATCGCCAATGTTTTATATTTTATCTACATTATGAGTTAAATTGTCCTTTATGGGATGGTATGGGATGTTAATAAACCATAATAACATTATTTCTATAGAATTATGTATTCTGTATTCCAAATGATCAAATAATGCATAAACTTTTGGAAAATAATCCATTTACAAGCTGGGGACTACATAGTGACTGGAACACATTAGGTGCTTAATAGTTGTTGACTAATTTTCTCACTATTAAGTAGTTGTATTGATAACTGTATTTCCAGCTCCCATTCATTTAAAGTTTCACAGCGCTAGTAATCGCTTACTTGCTGTCAGGATGTCAAATCCCCATCAGTTCTATAAATGAACTTCCGCACTTCATTACCTAGAATGAAGGGGACACCTTCACCAATGTCTAGACAGAAGTACAGGTTGGGTTTTTTTTTTCCCAACTCTCTTAAAAGCAATATGTTTTACTGGAACACAATGATAACAAATGAAGATTGTAGGATCATAAATTTAGAGCTGGAGAGGCCTTTGAGCCCAATTCTCTCATTTTACAGATGATGAAACTGAAGCCCAGTGAAGTTAAACAATCAGTACAAGGTCACACAGACTCTGCAGAAATGGGATTTGAATCTGAATTTTTGAAGAGCCTGGACAAGAGAGCCACTGAGGTCTTCCCAGCCCTGCATCTATCATCCCCTGAGTCCAAATCCATTACTCTTTCCACTGTACCACACCATGGTTTGTCAGGAAAATTGTTTTGATTATTAATACCATCATGTGCATCTATAGCCCTGCTAGGGCACTGGGGAGTATTGCCTTCAATTATTTGTGCTTTTATTAATCTCATAACTATTTCTTTGTCCTCATTAATACAAAATCTTTACATCCAGCCACCATTTGCCTCCCAAACAAGCTTTGAGCCAAATGTGGGAATCTGTTTTGCTTGACTATGCATGTTTTTGTTGTTGTTGTTGTTGTTTTTTGCTTTTTGGTGAGGCAGTTGGGGTTAAGTGACTTGCCCAGGGTCACACAGCTAGTAATGTCAAATATCTGAGGCTGGATTTGAACTCAGGTCCTCTTGAATCCAAAGCCGGATCTCTACCCATTGCACCACCTAGCTACCCCAACTATGCATGTTTTTAACAAAGGATTTTGTTTTTCTTGCTTTCTCAGTAAAGGGTGGGGAAATATGAGAGAAGAGAAGGTGGATTTTCATTTGAAAATAATTTTAATTAAAAAAACCCCAAGCTTTTGGCCATAGAAAAAATGTAAGTGAGAGGAACCAACCCTAAATCTACACTTATTAGTGTAGAAGTGACCATATACTTGACAGACTAAGCTCTGATTGGCTTTACCATACTGGAAAAGCTCTATACACAGGGCTGAAGGTAGACTGACTGTGTATTTGATGTCTGGGAACCAGCCTAGTGAAATGCAGTGAGATTCATTACCAGAAAGTTGGTCACCAGGTGATTAATTTTTCAGACACTCATGAGATATTAAGGAGCTTTGATCTACACTGATGGAGGAAATACCCTCACCAATTAAATTATGGAGTTTTTTGAGAGTAGTAAGGAAACTTGGAAGATAGAGATAGATATATCCAAATGAGGCTCTATTAGTACAAAATTCCTGCATATGACCATGATATCACATATTTTATTCAGTGGGCATTCTTTGGACAAGCTTCTTTTAGAGTTAGAATAGAGGAATCTGAGAGAAGAAGATGACTCAGTGAGTCACTGTCCTAGTGTACTTACGCATGGACCAACACATTTTCAAGAATAAGAATCATAAATTTTGTGAAGTCACACCAACCAACTTTGTACAGAAGAGAACAGGCCACAGAAGAGTAAGCTAATTGCAAAAAGTGTGAAGCTTGATGAAAGACAGGAACCATTAGTTAATGGCTTCCCTAAATGATAATGCAAATACTGTAACATGGGAGGTCATGATGGATAGCTATGTTACTATGATAGTATTGACATCCCATGATATAAAGGTCCACTTCTGAATTATGTCTATGATCTTTCCCTCAGACAGTATCCACTCTCCTTGTATCAGTATGGCAAAATCTATTGGATGTGATCAATTGCTATAAACTCCCCCAACCCAAGGCTACATCCAAAGCACAGGAAGTATTCAAATAAGCTTAAGCAAATATGTCAAATTTCAATTCAATTTAACAAGTCTTTATTAAGTACTTACTACTTGTAAGGCACTGTGCTAGGTGCTGGGAGTACAAAAGCAAAAATGAAGTAGCCCCTGCCCTCAAGGAGTTTACATTCTATTGGAGGAGACAAAGTGTGTAAAGATAATTAAATACAAATATTTACCAAATTAAACAAAGTAATTTCAAGAAGAAGAAAGCCCCCAAACTAGAGGGAACAGGAAAAGCCTAGTAGAAAATGGCACCTAAGGTATATTTTCAAGGACGCTAAGTATTCTAAGAGGCAGAGGTAAGGAGGGCTTTCTGCATTTCAGACATGGGGGACCAAACCAAAACAAAACAAACAAGGGGCAGCTAGGTGGCGCAGTGGATAGATCACTGGACCTGAAGTCAGGAGTACCTGAGTTCAAATCTAGCCTCAGACCAAACACTTGACACCTACTAGCTGTGTGACCCTGTGCAAGTCACTTAACCCCAACTGCCTAACAAAAACAAAAAAACCCCCAAAAAACCAAAAACCAAAAACAGACATGGGGGACCACTTGTAGGAAAGTACAGAAGATGGAAGGCATGTACAGACGGAAGAGCTAACAGGGCAATGGGATTAAAATGAAGAATGTGAAAGGGAGTAATGGGGAATAAGAGTAGAAGGGTAGGTAGGAGCCAGATTTAGCTGGTTTGATGATTTTGTGTTTTATCCTAGAGCCAGTAGAGACTTCCTGAAAATTGTTAAACAGGGGAATGACATGGTCTATTTTAGAAATATCAATATAGCTGCTATGAGGAAGGTAGATTAGGGGGGAAAGATTGGACACTTTAGGAGACTAAATGCAATAGTCTTGGTGAAAAGTAATGAGGACCTGAACTAGGAGGGGGGGCTTCAGGATGGGAGGAGAAGAAAAAGGATAGCAAAGATGTGGAGACAGAATCAATGTGCCTTGGCAACCTATTAGATTTAGATTTAGGGCTTAATTTATTGTTGATATTCTAGACTTAAAAGTAACAGAAGGAGCAGCTCGGTGGCACAGTGGATAGAGCACTGGCCCTGAAGTCAGGAGGACCTGAGTTCAAATCTGGCCTCAAACACTCACTAGCTGTGGGATGCTGGACACTTCGTCACTTAATCCCAATTACCTCCAAAAAATAAAAAAAGGAAGGAGAAAATGTTAACAACGTAGATTAAATTTAAAGGTTATGTCATTCACACTTGAGTTTTTTGGAGACCCTGGTATTAAACGTTTACCAGCATACCCCTTGAGTCAGGACACATCTCCACTCACAGAGTCTCACATTCACATAGAACTCACGGTGTAAGTTCAGGCTCTACTCTACGCAGACTATCACAATAGTCTAATTGCTCTCCTTCCCTCGAGTCTCTCCTCTCTCCACTCTGTTCTCCACCCAGCTGCCCAATTAATATTTCTTTCTGGTGTATGATGTAAGATGTTGGTCTATGCCTAGTTTCTGCCATACTCTTTTCCAGTTTTCCCACCCAGCAGTTTTTGTCAAAGAGTGAGTTCTTATCCCAGAAGCTGGGGTCTTTGGGTTTATCAAACATCAGATTACTATAGTCGTTGACTACTGTGTCTTGCGTGCCTAACCTATTCCACTGATCCACCACTTTGTTTCTTAGACAGAACTAAGTAGTTTTGATGACAAATTAATATTTCTAAAGCACATGTCATTCCGCTCTTTATAAAGCTCTACCCAAGAGTTTTTAACCTCTTTTGCGTCATTGACCCTGGTAAAGCCTAAGAACCCCTTCTCAGAATAATACTTTTAAATGTGTAAAATTAAAAAGGAAAATAATTATATTCAACAGTGATAATTTAAAAAGAAAATTTTTTTAAGGCAATTGGGGTTAATTGCCCAGGGTCACACAGCTAGTAAATGTCAAGTGTTTGGTCTGAGGCCAAATTTGAACTCAGGTACTCCTGAATTGAGGGCCGTTGCTCTATCCACTGCGCCACCTAGCTGCGCATAATTTTTTTAAACTAGGGTCATGGACCCCAGGTTAAGAACCCATTACAGAAGTTTTCTTTTGTCTTTGAGATAAAATACAGGTTCCTCCATTTAGCATTTAAAGATCTTTACAATTCAGATCTTTATAATCTGGTTAGACTTTCAAAAATTCTAAGTTCAGAGAAACTAGTGTATTTGCTATTCCTTCTATAGGACATTCCATTTGCTATTTCTATGTCTTTGGGATACAAGTAGTCTCCTGTGCCTGGAATGCATTCCCTCCTAACCTCTGCCTCTTGGAATTTTGGCTTCCTTTAAGGGACAGCTGAAGGGCCACTCACCTCCTACATCAGGCTGATTTTGTTCCCCTAGGTGGAAAGTACTCTCACCCTCTCTCTTCCCCAAATAACTTTAAATTTACTTTGCCATATTTTGAGTTTATAATAATAGTATTTATAGAGTACCTTAATGTTTGGAAAGTACTTAAAATATTATCTCATTGTATCCTGACAACAATTCTGGGAGGTAGGTGCTATTATTATCATCCCCATTTTATAGATGAGGAAACTGAGGCAGAGAGCAGTTAAGTGACTTGCCCAGGATCATACAACTAGTAAGTGTCTAGGACAGAATCTGAACTCAGGTCTCCCTGAGTCCAAATCCAGGGCTCTACTCACCAACATGCTTATGATTTCCTGGCATAGTGGCTAGCCTGCTGGTATAGATTTGTTTTATACTGAAGTCTGTAAAAATCCATTTCCCCACAATAGAATGTATACTTATGGAGGGTAGGGGCTCTTTCACTTTTGTCTGGGTGTCTCCAGAGCCTACTGGCATTATCCTAGGTACATAGGTGTTGTTTAACAAATGCTTATTAATTGAATCAGGCATACACGTCTAATATATTCATTTGTTACACTTGACCATGTTTATCTGTTGGGGAAAGGGAGTTGGTGGGAAGTGACAATGGATTTTAATGGAGAAAATAAAACATTTTTTTTTAGAGGAATTGAATGAGGAAGAGCCAAGAGTCAAGGATGATTCTAAGGCTAAAAAACAGTTGCTTCCTGAAAGGATGGCAGTATAAAGCAGTGGGAAGAACACTGGCTTGGAAATCAGGAGGCTCTGAGTTCAAATCTCACTTCTGCTAGTTATTTATATCCCTCTGGGAAAGTCATTTCACCTCACTGGGCCTTGGTTTCTTCCTCTGTAAAATGAGGGAATTTAACTAGGTGGTTTCTGAGGTCTCTTCCAGCCCTGGTTCTAACATCTTTATGTTGGCAGCCTCAACAAAAGCAGGGAAATTCAGAGGAGATGGGTTTTGGGGAAAATAAATTCAGTTCCACATGGACTTTTTAAGAGCGAGACGTCTATGGAACATCCTGTTAGAATTATAAGTCAGGTAGTTTAAAATGCAGGATTAGAGAGTAGGAGAGTAATTAGGACTGTATACATTGATTTGGCAGTCATCTGTATAAGATGCCCCTATACCCCAATTCTATTAGTTAAAATCCTTCCCTTACTTCAGGGCTCAAGGGATCCTTTGGATTTGGGATAAGAGGGATAGATAATCACCTCTGGTCCAGAGCACAATGCTTGAACTCTTTCTGGTCCAAACCTAAAACCCTGGGATTTGACTATCTCTAAGTTGGCCTCCCAAAGAGGAAGGACTGGCTCACTATTGTTAATGAGAACACTCACACTGGCATACTTTGTGCTCTACTGGATTATGTTCTCTCTCTCACTCAGTGGGGATGTTTAGCTTCCCTGGGGTCTAACACTCATTCTTAGGCTAAGAATGGAGTCACCATCTGAATAAACACATATTTTAAGTTCCTTGTGTTTAAACTCAAGGACTGAGACTTCTTTCAAGGAACAGTGGGGACCACATCCTCCTTTTCTTCATTTTAGCAGCTCATCTCATAGTACAGAGAAAATAAGAGACATTTTGAATAAGTGTAAATTGATAAGCAAGCAGGTAACTGGTTATCTCCAGCACATTTCCAGCCCTTACTGATGCAATCAAGTGACTGCTACTGTAATTAAATACCTTAATGTTGTTGAGGTTGACTTCCTGAAGACTGGGATCATTGGCTTTCAGCTGCTGCAAACTTGCTTCCACATTTGTGGGATTGGGTGGTTCCTCAAATATTGGTTTGACCTTTTCACCTTTGACTACATCTAAAACACAGGTTAATATTGTTGTAGAATTCAAGTTCTGTTCAATCATGTGTGATAGAATAATTCTCAGTCAAAGATGGTTTCCCAAGAGTCATTTCTATCATGGATTTCAGAAACCATGAAATCTAATATAAAAAAAAAAATCAGCTTTATTGGACAAGCAAGTGAATTATATGGCTTTACTAATGATTAATTAATTCTACCTGGTGCTTATAACTTGGTGATTCTCAGCTTCAGTAGTTATGTTCAGCACTCAGGTATAGGAAGTGACTAGGTTCCTGGGCCCATCGCTTAAAACCACCACATCAGAACTGCTCAGAAATATTGCAATGGGGCAACCAACTTAGATTTAGGTTTTTGTGGTCTACTTTATGACTGACTGCTTATATAGAACCAAATGTGCAGATGGCCATCTGGCATAGTGCCTTCCCAAAACAGCACTTCCATATGATAACTGACATATTACCATATAGGGATATAGCAAACAGACAGATGTATATGCATGTGCACATATGCACATACATGTAACAGTATACATATATACATGTATATACACATGTGGTTATGTGTTTGTATATGTATACATACATGTATACTAGATAATAAGTATGCATGTATACATATACACATATGTGCAGTTGATCCTCAACTTTCAAGGGGGTGATGTTCCTGGAAAATGGTGCAAAAGTTAAAAATGAGAATGTTGATACATTGAACCTATGGGAAATAGGAAGTTAGGTTCCTATGACCACCAAAAACTGTAATCTTTTGCTAAAGATTGCTGAAAATATACTTTTCTGCATACAATTCTTTATAATAAAACATTAATTCTGATAATATGCACTTTTCCTAACACAGCATCTATGATATAGCACACAAAATAAAGCTGGTAACATGCAAAACATTTTCCTTATATTTCCCTAGAATTCTATGACCTTTTGTGCTAACATGTCAGTGTTAATAAATGTCAATAAAATGTCAATAAAAAATCACCCAAAAACATTTGTTTCAGACAATATTCACTTTTCATAGCACCTGAAATCTAAGGTATCATAAATATTGTATAGCAAATAAAATTCTTAAAACTTTTTTAATCTGAGTCTTACTTTCTACTGCATCAGATGGCAGTGTGAGGGCATTGTACTGTGTACTATACTGCTATAAACCTCTCTATCTTGGCTGTGTTTTGAAAACCAAGGGAGAGGTTGCTGAGACTTTAGATGCTGTTGTTGGAAGATGCCAAGACTAGCAAGGTCTCTATAATACCTCCAACACTCTGTGCTTCATAGCTGGTGGATGGCATTGGAGATTGTGAATGACACACCAGCTTGAAATAATACTCCAGCACTGTCTGCTTTGTGCACCATTTGAGATCTTTAAAGGGTTTCAGAGTATGGGAGCATAGAAGAGGGGAGCTGACATTTAACCTTGAAGCTGCGATTGATGATGGAATCGGCAGCCTCAGCATCTCTTGGCAGCTAGGCAATTATGCCAAGCCTCTCTTTAGGGTTGGAACTGTGAGTGGCACAATCATTTTTCTCTCTATGGTATATAACTGCGAGTGTGCACAGCTACCAACATGAAAGTGAAAATGAAGTTTCTAATAAAATTGTGTGAATGCCTGAAGTCATGAAAGTTAAACATGCAAATGTTGAGGACTGAATATAATTGCATATACATAAACACAATCTTACATATGGAATGCACTTTTATTCACGGTTGGTAACAGAAAAAGAAGTGTCATTTATTCTCCTCACTGTTCAAACTTTCAATCCCCTCCTCCTTTCCTTTGGCTCCTGTCTGAAGCTTTGGGACACAATGGTAAGAGAAATGATAACTAGGAGGGGAAAACTGGAAGAGTCCTAGGATTTGAACTGTTTTTATCACTTCAGGAATATGGGTACAGATGAATAAACCCCAAAAGAAACCCCATGTTGGCAGGGGCAAAAATGAAAAAAAAAAAAAAATATATATATATATAATATATATATATATATATATATATATATATATATATATATATATATATATATATGAGAGACGTGGAGATAATTCAGTGCGTCATAGGGCATTTTTATTTCTTGATTTGCTCATGTACCTGGCAATGGCTTATAAGCTAAACTTGAATGCCCATGGGCCTACTGCTTTCCTAAACCAAGCTAGAGTATCTACTCTCTTTGTACCAGTATGGCGAAATCCACTGGGTGCTGATCAGTGGCTGTGGATTCCCCGTTCCGAGGCTACATCCAAAGCACAGGAAGAATTCAAGTAAGCTTAAGCAAATACGCCAAATTTCTAGCTATAGAAGCAAAAGGGCCATGGAAAGGCTGAAATAAGGCCTCCTCATTTATGCTTGGGGATTAGTACAGCCCAGTTAGCAGAAATGTACTGGAATATGACATCCTAGCTTTCCATATAACTTCCAAGCTTTTCCTCTCCTTTATGAAGAAAGAATAGCACATTTCTCGGGGTAATTTCCAAACATCCAGATGAATCTTTATTTTGAATGTTTGAAGAGTTTGTATTCTTTCTCCATTTCTCTTTCCTCCTCCATTCCCTGGCCCTGGCCCTGTCTTCAAATATTTCATCTATAAGAATATGAGAAAAGAGGGGGGTTTTGGTTGATTTTAATGTGCATTTTAAGTAGTTAGGAAATAATCAGATTACTTTTTAAAAGCACTGAAACTGAAATTGAAAGGAGAAAGTTATGCTTACTTTCTGCAAACTATGGTTTATCCCGTTAGCCTGCCAAACTTTAAATTGTCTTCCTTTGAGTACTTTTATATCACTCAAATTGTTCATACTTTATCCATAAGATATACTCTAAGGATTTTATTTTTAATGGGCAAATACTGACAGTATGATTTACCTAAATATTTGAGCATGTCCTAGTTGGTCACACAAAGTAGACTCGGCTTAAAAAATAACTTGTGAGGACCTGAGTTCAAATCTGGCCTCAGACCAAACACTTGACACTTATTAGCTGTGTGACCCTGGGCAAGTCACTTAACCCCAACTGCCTAAAAAAAAAAATTTAAAAAAATAAAAATAACTTTTGTGTGTAAACATTTGCATGAGTGCTAGTACTTCAAATCCAATTTAAAATTGAGAAGTTAGAAATAAAGAGGACCAATGAATCTAATTAGCTTAACAAGGGGCCAGAAAACTAAAATTTTCAAATAAAGACTGTAGATTTCAGCTACAAATTTGCAACAGCAAGATTTTTTAAAAAAACTGAAAAAATAACTAAATTTATTATTTTCCATTTTTGTAAATTACTTATTATAATAAATCTTATTCATAGTACTTGATGTAATAAAGCTTACTTTCAATTTAATAATAATACTTATATAGTGCCTTAAGGTTTGCAAAGTATTTTACAAATATTATCTCATTTGATCCTCACAACAACCCAGAGAGGTAGGTGCTATTATTATCCCCATTTTACAGTTGAGGAAAACTGAGGCAGACAAAGGTTAAGTGACTCGCCCAGTGTTATCCAGCTAGTAAGCAACTGCTACAAATTTGAACTCAAGTCTCCCAGACTACGGCACAGCTAGGTGGCACAGTGGATAGAGTAGATAGGAAGACCTGAGTTCAAATCCAGTCTTAAACACTTACTAGCTGTGTGACCCTAGGCAAGTCACTTAACCCTGTTTGTCTCAGTTTTCTCATATGTAAAATGAGATGGAGAAGGAAATGACAAACCATTCCAGTATCTTTGCCAAGAAAATCCTAGATGGGGTCACTCTTCTCAGGAAGAGTTGGACATGACTGAAAAACAACTAAACAAACTTCTAGATTGCAAGTACTGCACTGTGCCACTAGCTTTAAAAAAGATAAAGAACTTTCTTCCTGATTAGTCTTTCCTTCTCCCCACCTTTCCTCCATCACTGACTTTTCTAATAAAATACCTTTAACACCAAACACCAGCCTCTGGGTCTTATGTTTATATCTGTAAGTTCCTTTCAATCTATCTCCATGGACTAAATGGCTTCCCCCACGCTGTCTCAGGGTCCATTACTTTCTTATCTTTCCTGATAAAGTTTCCCTTCCTGACCAGATAACTTTTACTGTACTTTGAATTAGAGCTTGCTATAAGAGTTGCATCTACCCCTAAGCCCAGTTTCTTAAAATGCTAGGTATAATAATTAAAGGAAAGCAAGATATTAGACAGAATCTAAAAGTCTCTGTTAGTGAAGCTAAACCACATATAAACAGGAATAGGAATCAGAAGTTTATAGTTGCAACATTAAGGTTTTTAGCAACCACGTAATATTGAACATTCTGGCGCACACTACAGAACAGCTGATGAAGAAATCTGAATTTACTGGCAGCCAAAAAATTTCACAACCTTTGCAATTTCCCCCTTTTCCTTCCTTTACTTACTTCTCGGAGGGCTTTTGCCACTATCATTACTGGTGACTTCTTCAGTAAACCGTGGATTATTGACTAAATTGTGAACTCCAAGAACAGCTAAAAAGAACAAAGAGAAGCTGTTAGCATGATAGACACTAAATTAGAATTCCAATTTTTTAATGTTTCTTGAGGAAATGAGTCTTCATGCATAGTATTCCTATTACCCAGACACTTATTTTCTCTCTCATCAGTCAGTTGATAAACATTTATTAAGTGCCTGTTATTTCACTAGGCACAGGGGATACAAAGATAAAAATGAAATAGTCCCTGCCCACTGGAAGCTTATATTCTATCGAAGAACCTTGCTCAGATACTTGGCAGATGTTACAATAATAATAACTGGTATTTATCTAGCAGTTTCATGTTTTATACATTAACTCCTCTGATACAACAACCCTGTGGAGGAGGTGTCATTCTTATTCCTTTTTTACAGATGTATAAACTGAGGCTCAGAGACATTAAGTGACTATCTCAGGTTTACACAGTAAGTGTTTGAGGTGAGAAACCTCAGTCTTCCCAACTGCCAAGTCTAGAATTCTATCCACTCTACCACAGTGCTTCTCATTCTGCTTATTACATTCTTGGATCACACTACCTATTCAACCCTGCCTCTCAGAATTCCTACCTCTCTTCAAGGCTTATGTCAGGTGCCATCTGCTAGAGGAAAAAGTGATCTGGACACCCTTAATTGTCAGTGTCTTTCCCTTTTCAAATTACAATATTTTTATTGATTTGTGCATAAGTTACATCCCTTCAGGAGAATGTAAGCTCCTTGGGGACTTACATTTCTCATTGTATTACTAGCCTTTAATTATCATACCTACCCTTTTAAGAAACTGATTGAGCTTAGGGGCAGAAGCAACTTTATAGCAAGCTCTCTGAATCTCCAAAGCCTGGCAGTGTCTTTTTTTTGTTTTTTTGCTTTTTTTTTGGTGAGGCAATCAGGGTTAAGTGACTTGCCTAGGGGTCACACAGCTAGTAAGTGTCAAGTATCTGGTCTAAGACTCAAGTCCTCCTGACTCCAGGGCTCTATCTACTATGCCACCTAGAAGCTATTAGAAGAACTAGAATTTAAGAATACCTCAAAGGGCAGCTAAATGACTGAGGCTAAAATGACACTTACTAGCTGTGTGACCCTGGGCAAGTCACTTAACTCCAACTGCCTCACCAAAAAAAAAAAAAAAGAAAAAAGAATACTTTGAAGGAACAGGCACATTTTCACATCAGTTGATATATCCGGTCCTTCAAGTGCTTATAGATGTTTGTTCAAATGAAAAGAAAATATCTAATGTGAGGTCCTCTTCTCCAAAAGTACATCTGAATTCATATTAGTAATTGATCATAATAGACCATGTAGTCATGGGCCCATATTACTGATTACCTGCTTAGGCCCTTTAGAGTCTAGGGAGATCCCAGGTAGTTAGCTCAAAAAAGCTCTTAACCAGAATAAGGAAACCTCTGATCTGATATGTCTCCTGAGATTTTACTGTAGATGTGAAATCTTTTTTTCCTTTTCCCAATTAAGTAAGTCACAGCTACTATGCAAACCAATCAATCTTTCCATGGTAATAGCTGGTTATCTGCTCAGTTCTTTACTTCTACTTAATTTTTTTTTAACAAAATGCCATTCTAAATAGCGGTTGTAGGAATCTCTAACATATTTTCAGAAGCCTCAAAGAGTAGAAGAAAACCCTGGTTTCCAACCTCCAAGTTCCATGGAGTTGAGATCGATCAGAAGTGCTCTTCTTAATGGAGAATCTCAAAGCCCATGTTTTCTGTTGCAGTAGTGGAAAATTTGGCAGGTGCAGGTAATGAGGCTTATTCAAAGCTTCAAGAGCTACATAAAGGGTCCCTGAATCTTACATGTCACTCTTTCCTTTGTACCAGGGATCTGATATTAAGAAATGGTGCCAGCCTCAGTCACTCTCTCTCTTCCACGTTGTCTTCCCCATGGAGGAAAAACAAATTTACTGTTCTCTGGAATATGTCTAGAAAACTCATGTTTGAATACAAGAAAGAGCTACAGAAGCCCTGTCCCTTTGGTGTTTCCTCCTGTGTGATCCCCATGTAGGAGCATTCTCCCTCTACTAATGCAGGCCACAGCCCTCTAAATTTTAGGATGTGAATTTCTGCGACTTAAAAAAATCTATCAGTTGGAGAGCAATCTTCTGGTGGTGATTCTCTCTGAACTTAGCTAGACTGGTCTTTAGATGATAGGCACAGACTGGACCCTTTCTCAATGACTTTCCAGTTGTACTTTGATGTCATAGACTTCAAGAACCCCAGGTCACTTCTATATTGAGATTAAGACTTTAGAGTAAGATTTTAGTGTGGGAAAATACACAGTAATAATAATAATAGCTAGCATTTACATAGTGTTTTTATGGTTGCAAAGCACTTAACAAATATCTCATTTGATCTTCACAACAACCCTACCCTGGGAGATAGATGCTATTATTATCCCTATTTTTATAGATGAGAAAACTGAGGCAGACAAATGTTAAGTGACTTGCCCAGGGTCACACAGCTAAGTGTCTGAAGCTCCATTTGAGCTCTGGTCTTTCTTCTTCCAGATCTAGCACTCTATCAACAATGCTACCTTATTGTGCAGTCCTGTCTGATTCTTCCTGACCCCATTGCGGATTTTGTTTTGTTTTTCCCCAAAGATACAGGAATGGTTTGCTATTTCCTTCTCCAGTGGATTATGGCAAACACAGTTAGCGACTTATGCAGGGTCACACAGCTACTAAGTGTCTGAGGCTAGATGTGGTCTTCCAGACCCCAGGCCCAGGGCTCTATCCACAGAGATATCGAGCTGCCTCAGTACTGTAATAACAATAATGAAAATTATTGTTTAGGTATTTAAATAAATACCTAAAATACCTACCTACCTAGAGAGGAGGTGTGGTGTAATGGATAGAGAATCAAGATGACCTAAGTTCAAGTACCATGTCTGACATATACTGCCAGTAAAACTCTGGGCAAGTTAATAAGTGGCTCAGTAGATAAAACGCTGGGTTTGGACTCTGGAAGACTTGAGTTCAAATCCAGCCTCAGATACTTACTTGCTATGTAACCCTGCATAAGTCACTTAAAACTCTGCCTCAGTTTCCTCATCTGTAAAATGAGGTCCCTTTCAGCTCTTATTATCCCATAAATAACTATATACACATTTAACTTAATCTCTGAGTATTCCAGACAACTTTTTCAGAGCAGAAATTGCAGAGCTGTTACCGATGTGCATGGGCAGAGGGAGTTTTCTCACTGGGGAACTCCCTACACTGAGGAAATAAATTACAAGTCATAAGTCTGGACCAAAAATAAATTAAAAAGTCCCTACACCTCCCAGGCTCATTGTGAGGCTAAAATGAGACAAACTATGTAAATTACTTTGCAAGCTTTAAAGCCTTCTATAAATATCAGGTGTTGTTAAGGTACTAAAAGGATATTGACACGTCATATTATTCCATGGCTTATGGTATTTTATATATATATATATATATATATATATATATATATATATACACATACACACACACACACACATATATATATACATATATATATGTATATATATATATGTGTATATATATGTGTATATATATATATATATACATATATATATGTGTATATATATGTGTGTGTATATATATATATATATATATATATATCTTTTTATCCAGCTAATTAACCAACCTGCAAGATCATAGAGTTCGGTATCAGAGGCACTAGCTAAAGCTTCTTCCAGTTCTGGGTCAAGAGTCACTTTTTCTTCTTTATGAGTTTCTGTTAGCTTTTCCTTGGGGATAAAGATCCTTCCTTTGAAACAAACAAACAAACATGACTGAGAATGACTGCTTTATTGACAAAGGGAACAGATTGACTTGGAGGGTATAGCTTCAACAGCCTTATGCTGAAACACTACGTCCAACTGGGATTTCCCTACTAGCTAGAAAGAGGTCAAGATGCCTAGTCCACAAATCATCAGAAAGGCATTTGTAGTGGGGCAAAATGTTGATGTGGGAAGAGAAGGAAATCTTGCTGGTCTCTCTGTGCCTCATAGATATGGGCAACTAGAGCTCTTAAAAAATATACCAGGCTGCTTGGTTATTTGTTATTTAAAATGTTATTTTGTTAAGATGAAGCTGAGGAAGTAAAGAATTGGGGAACTCATCAGGAATCCCTCTAGAAGGATAAAATCTAGGGACACATCATAGTAATGAAAGGTTCATTTCTTCCTGTGATTTCTTCCTTCCTTCCTTCCTTTTCTCTCTTTCCTTTCTTTCTTTCCTTCTTTCTTTCTTTTTCTTCTTTCCTTCTTTCTTTCCTTTTTTACTGTAAATGACTGGCTTTTTTTTTTTTGAGACTGAGTATCTGTTTTTCTCCCTTCATACTAGTTCACTTGATGATGTCATCAGCTCCCATGGATTCAATTATCATTTCTATGTTAGATTCTCAGATCTACTTATTCAGCTCCAACCTTTCTCCTGACCTCCAGTCTTGAATCTCCAACTACCTATTGGACATCTCAAAACAGATATCCTGCAGGTCTTAAACTCAACAAGGCCAAAACTGAATTATCTTTTCCTCAAACCCTTCCCCCTTCCAAACTTCTCTATTACTGTCATGGGCACCTACTCACCCAGGCTTGCAAACTAGGTGTCATCCTTGACTTGTCACTCTCCTCTCTCACCTCCCACATCCAATCTGTTGCTCAAGCCTCTTACATTTACCTTCTTAACACTTCTTGAATATGCCCCCTTCTCTCTTCTGACACTGCCACCACCCTACTACAGGCACTCATCACCTTACTCCTGGACCATTACTATAGTCTGCTGGTTGGTTTCCCTGAAAAAAAGTCTTTCCCCACTCCAGTCCATCCTACACTCGGCTTGTATCAAAGTGATCTTCATAAAGCACATGACTTACTATATCACCCTCCCCTATTCAATAAACTCCAGTGGCTTTGATCATATCACACTCTCCTTAAGACATAGCAATATTCCTCAATGATCATTATTGATCTATATATAGCCAGACTAACATTTTTATATCTGGATTCAAAGCCTTTTACTAGTGGCCCTAAAGTACCTCTACTCATTCTCTTCTTCTTCCCAGTTCCCTCATTCCACCAAGTTTTCTCTATCACTCAGGTAGCTCCTAAAATTCCAACTCCTCCCCAAAGCTTTTCAGAATGGATCTGAAATGAAGCAATTCCCTGATATATTTGATTAAAATCCTTCCCTTTAATATGTCTCCTGAGATTTTACTGTAGATGTGAAATCTTTTTTCCCTTTTCCCAATTAAGTAAGTCGCAGCTACTATGGAAACCAACCAACCTTTCCATGGTAATCTCTGGTTATCTGCTCAGTTCTTTACTTCTACTTAATTTTCTTAACAAAATGCCATTCTAAATACTGCTCAAGCCATCAGTCAGCGTGTGAACAATTCCAAGCAATTAAAGTCAGAAGACAGCTACAGGCATGATGCTCTAATTTAAGCCAGTCTAGGAGCCTGGATGTCAGTGACTTGGCAGACTACAACATGTTACAGAAGCTCACAGACTCCTCTAGCTGCAAGGCAATTAAGTACTTTATCAGAGGAATACCCTTGGCTCAAGTTATTTTGTGGTTGACAGCTTCCACAGGAAGCTCTCAGCTCTGGGTGTGTGGGTGGGGAGATGCAGGAGAACTGGAAATAAGGACTGACACTCAGGTGAGCCCTTCACCTGTTAGTTTAGTGTTCATCGGGAGAGATGTACAGACTGTTGACATGTGAACCAAACTCTGATGTCACTAACTTTAGTAGGTCTGTTGTTTAGGGCTGCTGCAGAGGGCTAACATGACATAGACATAAAGAAGAAAAGGCTTTATGGGAATTCTATGGCACAGAGCCAAGAGCCAGCATATGCCTGAGTGACAGAAAACATGGGACCTTCTTCCAAATACTTTTCTCAAATCTCATAACCCTAGGATCCAGGGGTGTGCAAGAGATAGCTCCAACCAGAGAGCTGATTGGTAAATTTTTCAGTATGAGCACTTACACCTTGGAAATCAACAAATGCTACAGATCAGGGCTTGATTTATTGTCTTGATGGTTTAGAATTTAAAATGTGATGGAGAAAGTGTTAATAATGCAGATTAAACTTAGAAGCAGTGTTATGGATAAATTTTTTTTTTGAAAACTGGTTGTAAAATATTTACTAGCACACCATTGCTTACGATTCTTTCTGAAGTACCTTTTTTATGTCATCATCTGTTGATGTCCAATTTCTTTAAGTGAACTTTCTGTCAGCAATAAACCTTAATGAGAAGCTACATGAAGTAATGGATAAAGCAGGAGTCTCCAGTCAGAAAGCTGTCCCACCACTGACATATGTTGGCTTTGTGGCTGTGGGTAAGTCCTCTAACCTCTCAGTACTCTCAGCCAACTCTCTAAGACTATAAAATGCAAAACAGGTTACACCTCTGCATTAATGCAAAGAGTTCTCCCTATTAATTAAATCACAGGTCCGGTCCAAAAAGAAGAAACAGAAAAAGAAGGGGGGAAAAGTACTGCCAGAGTCCATTTTTACAGTGAGTAAATAAAGAAAATTGGGCCTTTTCCTGCCCCCTCCTCTCTTTTAGGTCAGCCCCCATTCTTGGTCTGATTGAGTAAGGCAGTAACCAGCTGGACCCAGGATGCACTGGCTGGCCATTCAAACCTAATTTAGGTCCGGACCTTACCTTTCTTTTCTCCAGTGAAAGGTACAAAGTCTTCCCTGTCTTTGTGTTCCAGAGCTTCTTTTTCCAAATATGAAAGGAGGTGCTCCCGATCAAAGGGGCCTGTGGCTGCTTTCTGCGTCTGGTCTTTCTGCCGGAAACCTGCCGGTAGGAGTGCGCTCTGCCAAATGATAGGTTTGGTCAGGTGTTAGTGACAAGATAGGTCGTCTGCCTGAGGTTTCATTTGCTATCTCCGTCCCCATTTACTAGCATATCAGGTAAGCGCAGGATTTCTGTCTAGTCAACTAGGGTTCTGTTCTCTCCTTAGTAAGTGGAGGAGGAGAAGATCTCCACCCCCTGGCAATCACTATGTGCCCTACTGAAGCTTACTAGGGGATGGTGGGGTGAGCTGGTCTGAAGAATCCTAATTACTTATCTATGGCAAAGGGTGTTAAAGCAGGATCCCTGTCCCAGCATCTTTAAATAGTAGGAGTAGGTGGTCTATCAGGAATGCTAGGAGATTATTTCTATAGCTCCACCCCATGGAAAGTCAGCCAGGCAACTCCTGGGGGGGACTTGCCATTGATACAGGAGAACTTCAAATGCTTTCTGCCTATCCACCTTCCAGAGTACTGTAGATCGGTGACAAGCTAAAACTCAGGTCTCATTACATCATTCCCCTTCCTAATTGTTTCTAGGACAAAAAGCAAAATATTGGCTCTTAGAGCCTTTCATAATCCAACCCCATTTGAGGTTTCCAGGCTTGGTATACCTTACTCTTCCTCCATGCCAAACTGACGACTTGAAATTCCTCATACAAACATTCCGTCTCCTCCCTCTGTAACTCTGCACAGGTGATTATCCCCCAAGACTGGGATTCATTCTCTCTTTACCTCCTGGCTTCCTTCAAATCTTGGCTCACATGTCCTCTCCTACATGAGGCCTTCCCTTGATTCACTCAGCTGTTAGCTCCTCACCATCCCCCATTTATTTTGTTTATATATTTACTTATATGCATACATGCTGCTTCCCCTGGTAGAATATAAGCTTCTTGAGGGCAGGAGCTGTTTCTTTTTTGTCCCTGTATCTATCCCCTTCATCTAACACTGTACCTGTCTGTTGACTGATTGACAGCTAGGTTTCCTGAACTTTTGAGTTGCAGGAGCAATCCAAGGTTTTCTGTAACTTTCTTGTGGTCTGGTGCTGTGGTGCGTGGGGCCTTTCAAAGCCTCCTTCCATGGGTCAGGGCTCAAATTTTGAGCACTATGTGTCTAGAGTGCTCCCACAGCCATTAAAGACAGACGTTCAGAACTGCAGGAGAAAGCAACTTCATTTCATTTCACCATGACCAATTCTGCCTCTGGTCAGATGTGGATATTTCTTGTTGTTGTTCAGTTGTATTTGACTCTTTGTGACCCCATTTGGGGTTTTCTTGGCAAAGATATGAGTGGCTTGCCATTTCTTTCTCCAGCTAATTTTACAGATGAGGAAACTGAGGCAAACAGGGTTAAGTGACTTGCCCCGGGTCACACTACTAGTCAGTGTCTGAGGCCAGATTTGAACTCAGGAAGATGAGTCTTCCCAACTCCAGGCAAGGCACTCTATCTACTTGCACCACCTAGCTGCCCCATGTGAATATTAGGTAAACATTAAGTGTAGACTGTTGAACCTCATAGTGGAAGCTAATATATGTTCAGTTAATCAAAGGATCAGGGAATTTTAAAGTCAATAGCTTGTCCAAAACTCTGTTTTCCTTTGTTCTAGGCATGAGTTTATTATGAATTTTAAAGATTTTTCTTGCAAAGTAATTTTGTATTTCTGGTAGTCACTGAACCCAGTATTCCCTACTCTAACCCATCATTTTAAAAAGTGACAGAAGGGACAGCAAGCATATCTGTCTCCTTAACCTTGGAAAAGCCTTTATCACATTCTGCGTTGTGGTTTTTGCTGTTGTTAGTTTTTCTTTTTGTTTCTTTACTTTTTTTTTTTAAGTTAGAGAGGTAGAGACAATATCCTCATTTTACAGATGAAGAAATGGACTCCCAGAGAGATTAAGAGATTTTCCCACAGTCACACAGAAGGGGTTGGGCCAAGTCTCCTGACTCCAAGTTCATCACATAATCACCTGCTACTTCACTGTATACTCTTTATTAAAAAAAATAAAATCTGTCTATTGGAAAAGCAAATGCAGCAAAGTATCAGCTGTGCTAGAACAATTTGTAAAACATCTTAGACTATGAGAAAATCATCAGTTTAGATCCATCTAGTTATAAAATTGTGCCAATTTAATCAGGGACTTTTAAAGTCTACCTTTGCACTATCTGAAAAAGGCTTTGCTGAATAAAAAAAATGAAATGTCAACAAGATTTTAAAGGGAATATTCATGCTATATCAAAGATAAGCTTCTAAAGAATCCTCAGAAGAGTTTTAAAAGCACCTATTTCATTCTACACACAATTAATGATTGCCTCATCAAAGAAGGCATCATTCTTGGCTAATCATTATAGTATCTCAGCAAGGCAGTTCTTTTTTTATCTAGTTCAAAATATTTTATGTACTTGAAAGTAACAAAATGTTGATATTTAATAATATATTTATTGATTTTAATTTTATTTATTTATATTTAATTAATATAATATTTTAAATGAAATGAAATTAATTAATAATATATTTAATAAATAAATATGTCGTACCTATTTAGCCTGGCCATCTCCAATTTGATCCAAATTAGTGAGGTGTTACTAGTGTTTACACTCCATGGGATGCCAACAACTATAGCTTTTATACCCTTAAATGAGACATACATCAAAAGCGGGCTCTGTAGAGGCATGAAAGTCCTCTAGACTCCTCTGGTCCAAAAGCCCCCACGGTTCAGAGCTGTCATGGGGTTGTATAAAAGTCTACGCTTGAGTCCAAGCCAAACTGAGAGGGAATGTGGAATCATATGGACCCTTAGAATGCTGCCCTGGGTTTAATTCAGGACTCTAGAATTAAAGTGACTTCTACCAGAGGAATGGAGAAATTAAAGGGCTTTCTAATACCACAGAGCTCTCCTCAGGAGGAGACTCAAGCTTAGAATTGGGAGCCACAGACTTGTAGTTGGTGGCTCAGCCATGAAGGCAACTTAATTACATGGTTCTCTCCATAATCACTGTCCTCCATTTCCCCCTCACTCACCTCAGGATCTAGGTCATCGAGAACATTTTCCAACTGCTTTAGTTCCTCTTCTGAGAGTTTACCAAGAAGTTCGTCTTCATCAATGTTCTTGTATTTCTCCAGTTCTTTTTGGAAAGGCAGGGCCATGGCTTCTCGTTCAGAGTCTGGACACTTAGGCCACCTTTCTGATCTTCAAAAGGCTATGAATGAGAAAGAAGCAAACTATAACCTACTCACTTGGGTAAAGGAGGCCCCCAAGTAGTGCTTAGTTATGGTGGGTGTTGTTAAGTTGTGTCGGACTCTTTGTGACCCCATTTGGGTTCTCTTGGCAAAGATACTGGAGTAGTTTGCCATTTCCTTCTCCAGCATTTTACAGATGAGGAAACTGAGGCAAAGAGGGTTCAGTGACTTGCCCAGGGTCACATAGCTCGTTGTTGCTGCTTATCCTTTGTTCTCGAAGAGGACCATGACATCAAGGAGGTGATGCCATGAAATGCAAGTGAACTGGATTTAAGTGCAAAGCCTTACTTTCTCCTCCAGAGCTGTCTGGATCCAGTGGCGAGATATACATCAGGATGACCGGAGATGGGCCCAGATGCCTTTTAAAGCTAAGGTTTTCAGCTGGTCTCAGCCTGCCTGAGGCCACGCCCAATCAGTGATTAAGGCTAGAAATGAGGCAGAGAATGGCCTCTTTTACCTGGTTAAAAAAAAAATTTAATCTGGGAAGGGAAGACCTTCTGGGTTTCTGGCCAAAACAGAAACAATTGCTATTTACATTCACTCTGAGCCAATCAGGGCCCAAAGATGACCAAGTAGGGCTTGGCCTGGGACCTATTGTTGGCCAATCAAAGAGAGCTAGAGTGCTTTGGGTTTAAGGTATGGTGCTTAAGAAAGAAATCTAGCTAGTAAACCCCAAGATAGGTTTCAGCTATCAAAATTTACATTCCTTTGGGCAGAGCACCTGCAGGTAAGGGTATGATAACTTATGTGTCAGAGGGAAGGGAAGGGAAGGGAAGGGAAGGGAAAGAAGAAAGAAGTAAAGAAAGAAAAAGAAAGAAAGAAAGAAAGAAAGAAAGAAAGAAAGAAAGAAAGAAAGAAAGAAAGAAAGAGAAAGAAGGAAGGAAGGAACAAAGGAAGGAAGGAAAGAAAGAAAGAAAGAAAGAAAGAAAGAAAGAAAGAAAGAAAGAAGAAGGAAAGAAAGAAAGAAAGAAAGAAAGAAAGAAAGAAAGAAAGAAAGGAAGGAAGGAAGGAAGGAAGGAAGGAAGGAAGGAAGGAAGGAAGGAAGGAAGGAAGAAAGGAAGGAAGGAAGAAGAAAGAAAGAAAGAAAGAAAGAAAGAAAGAAAGAAAGAAAGAAAGAAAGAAAGAAAGAGTTGTGTTGCCCAACTGGCCAGTTCTAGTTGGGTCCCTATAGGGCAGCTCCTACCACTACTCTCAAAGGCTGTTTGTCTTTCATTCTCAAACAGGACCATGACATCAGGGAAGTGATGCCATGACATGCAAGTGAATTGCATTTAAGTGAGCAGGGCTGTGCAAAGTCTCATCTCACTTTCTCCTCCGGAGCCATCTGGTCCAGTGGCAAGATATAGATTAGGATGACTGGAGATGGCCCTCAACATAGCTAGTAAGTATCTGAGGCATGAATCTTCCTGACTTCAGACTCTATCCACTCTGCCACCTAGCTGCCCTAGCAGACTCTACTTGTTGCAATTGTTCTAAAAAACAAGAGTTTGGTTCTATTAACTGAGATTGTAAATTTCTGGGGGACAAAGATTGGTCTCTAGTTTTAACTTTTGTCTCCTCCAGGGTCCACAGAGTGCCCTGGACAAAGGAAATGCTTAAAGTATGATTGCTGAATTTGTTGTTGAACCTATTCTTGGAGAATACTGACTTGTAATAGAAACCCATTTAAAGAACAGTGAGGAAATGTTAATACTGTCAAAAGAAGCCTGTGTTATCATCCAGGGAGGGAATGATGAAAAGGATGAAAAATAGGATTCATTAAAGATGATGGGTTAGGAGAACCTCAATGGGGGACAAAGGAGGTAAGGTAGAACAAGATGACAAGAGAATGAGGAAAGTAGTAAAGAAAGAATGAAGGAGGAGAAGAGAACCTAAGAATTTTATAAGTAATTGCTAAGTTTCTCTGCAGAGCAATCCCCAAGCAAAATGTTATATCACAGGTTCTGGTGTCTAAAAGAAAAGCTGTTCTTCTGACATCCGTATCTCAGCTAAATTGCCTCACTTGACTATTAACTGTTGGGTATGCCTGTGGTTAGGAGCAAAGAATGCAAGAATAGAGGTGAGATAAAGAAAAATGAAGTGACAGAAAGAAACACAGATGTGCCCTTTTTTCTGAAGACCCCACTATTCGAAGATCTCAACTTACCGAACAGAAACAGGATCCGGAAGGGCATTTAAAGATTATCTAATCCAACTCCTTTATCTTATAGATAAATCAAGAAGTAATTATTTCATCTAAAGAGAATATAAATCTTTGTGCCATAGAAGTATTCACTTGATGTTAAAAAATATTATTGCATTTTAAAAATTCCACATACATACAAATTTTCAGGAATACATCTAGTGTGTAAACATTGATCCCCACTTACAGCATGTAGTCCAGGAATTATTAGTTTAACTTCTCTAGAATTGGATTGGAATGGCAGTTGTTGTGTATAGATTAGGATGCCTACTACTGGGCATATGATGGATAAGATTTGTATCTCCAGGCAGAATCTGCAGGACACATAAACATCATTCAGCTCTCCTCTTTGATATATTTTGTATCTAAGCTCTGGACATATCACAGCACCTGACCTCAGACCCATATGCCAGACACCTAGAGGAATAAATATACTATGTATGGGAGCCCCTGGCTGCCTTCCCCAGGGCATAGGCCATACAAAACACTGGGAAAAGTAGCAAGAAATACTAGACCACCTGACTATCTATAAGCTCCCTAGAGTCTTACCTTGTTGTTAATGATGTACTGTCTCCCAGACCTCACTGTGAACCTCACAAAAGATGGATGACGTAACAATCATATACCAGCATTGATACCCACCTAAGCACTTGCCTTAACACTTTCTCTTCTTGAAACCAGACATGGTTCGACTCTTTAAAATTTATTTCCTAGTTGTTTCTGACTCCCTCTCACCCTAGAGGCTGACAGTATAAATCTTTGCCTCTTCTATTTGAATGAAATACTTTACTCATTTAAGAAAGGTAATCCAGATGAACAAATAAAATACCTACAGTATAGCAAAGCTAAATAAACATTCAGATTGTAGTAAATTTAAAGAGGCAGCTAGGTGGCTCAGTGGATAGAGCACTGGGTCTGGAGTCAGGAAAACCTGAATTCAAATGTGACTTCACATACATACTAGCTATGTGACCCTATGCAGGTTGCATAACTTCTATTCGCCTTAACCTACTGGATAAGGAAATGGCAAATCATTCCAGAATTGACATGAATTGAACAAGTTAATTTTCAGGGAGTTTTTAAAGGGCAGCTAGGTGTTGCAGTGGACATAGTACTGGGCTTAGAATCAGGAAGACTCACCTTCATAAGTTCAAATCTTGCCTCAGACACTTGCTACCTGTGTGACCCTGTGAAAGTCACTTAACCTTGTGTGCCTCAGTTCCTCATCTGCAAAATGTTCTAGAGAAGGAAATGACAAACCTTTGAGTATCTTTGCCAAGAAAACCTCAAATGGTGTCATGAAGAGTTGGACACAACTGAAAAAACACTGAACAAATGCATGCTGGATTTAGAGTCAGATGGTCTACGCTAAAATCCCAGCTGGGACACTCATCTAGGGAAAATTGTTTAATCTTTCTGAGGCCTCAGTTTCCTCTGAGTTCTAAGACTGTAAATTCTCTTACAACTCTAAATTCTATGATTCTATCATTCTTTAGAGATGGCAGACAAAAGCACGGTGGATTTTGTCAACAAGTGATAAACTTTTCTGGAACTAGTAAGAATTTATGCCACTTATGTTCAATAAGCTAAGTATGATAATATTCATAAGCCATGGAATGTGTTTCTCTTTTTTTCTCCTCCTTTACCTGCTTTATATTCTCCCTTAATTTCTTTCTTCCATACCTTCTTCCCTGTCTTCTAAACTCCTTTCCCAAGCCCCACATAACTTTCACTTACTATCCAGAAAAAGTCATCTACAGGGGCAGCTAGATGGCGCAATGGACAGACCACTGGCCCTGAATTCAGGAGGACCTGAGTTCAAATCCGACCTCAGATACATAACACTTATTAGCTGTGTGACCCTGGGCAAGTCACTTAATTCCACTGCCTAACCCCCCCCAAAAAAAAGTCATCTAGAAACTGACTATGACTGTTTAGCTGAAATGCAGATTTCAGAGGGGCAAAAAATATTCCCATACCTTTGGTGAAAAACTAATCCCTCTCTTCTACCTGTATACTTGTTTCTACCTCCTATTGGCCTTGCTCCAGTGGTCATCCCTCTCTCTTATGCATCTTTAATCTCTGTGATCACTGCATGTTTCCTATCTGCCCTAAAATATTCTCAAATTTGTCCATTTTTTTTTGTTTTGGGTGAGGCAGTTGGGATTAAGTGACTTGCCCAGGGTCACACAGCTAGTGAGTGTCAAGTGTCTGGTTTGAGGTCACATCTGAACTCGGGTCCTCCTGAGTCCAGAGCCAGTGCTCTATCCACCTAGTTGCCCCGTGTCCCTTTTTTTTTTCCAAGAGTTCTTTTCACCCTTCAATCCCACCCAATGACTCTATATCTCTAGCTGTGATTTTTTTTTCTGTGCTTTAGTCATGGGTCTCCAGCTGCGTTCAGGATATCTCCACAGTGCCTTGCACATAAACAAATGCTTGATAAATGTATATTGCATTGAATACTTTTAAATTCAGCCACTACCCCAGTTCGGGTTCTATCACTAGTCACCTAAACTATTACAGGAGCCTCCTGGTTGGTCTCCTTGCCTCTAATCTCTCCCTGCTGCAATAGATTTTCCACACAGCTACTGATGAACTTTTTTCCTCAAGTAAAAGTCCTGTGCATCAACTTCATAAACTCCAGTGATGCTCTATTAACTCCAGCATAAAGTCAAAACTTCTTTGTCATTCAAAGCCCTTCATAACCTGGTCCCTTCCAATCTATCTACTCTTTTTTTTTTTTTTGGCTAGGCAATGAGGTTAAGTGACTTGCCCAGGGTCACACAGCTAGTAAGCATTATGTGTCTGAGGCCAGATTTGAACTCAGGTCCTCCTGAATTCAGGGCCAGTGCTTGATCCACTTCACCACCTAGCTGCCCCACCAATCTATCGACTCCTCTTACACTTTACTCATCTCCCTCTGCTTGGGCTATATGGGCCTATTTGCTATCCCTCCCACGTGATACCTGATTTCCTTTTATCAGTGTCCTTGTGCTTGGGCTGTCCCCCAAGCCTAGGATATCCTCTCCCTTTTTCACCTTTGACTCTTAGAATCCACAGGTTTCTTCAAGACTTGGCTCCAGTGCTACCTTCAGTGTCCTGGTACTCCCTTCTACAAATGCCTTCTCATCTGTTACCTTCCATCAAATTCATTCTCTACTTATTCGTGTACATCTCTACTTCATAAGAACATAAGCTCTTTGAGGGCAGGGACCTGTTTCTGCTTTTTCTTTGTATTCCCAGCCCTTAGCACAGTAGCCAAGAACTTAATAAATGTTTGTTGATTGACCGATTCAACATGGCCACACCCAAGCTCATTTCACCAGAGCCCTTCTTCCTCACCAATCATATCTAATCAGTTAGTCCATCCTGTGGATCATATTTCCACGTCTCTTGATTCCACTCCCTCCTTTCTACTCCCACAGCTCTTATCCTAGTTTAGACAAGTGCTTGTTGCAATTTACTGATATAATAGCCGCCTTATATAGGTCTTCCCAACTCCATCCCACATACTGGTACCAGACTGATTTTTCTTAGATATAAATTTGGTCATACCATTCCTCTACTCAGAAATCTTTAGTGTTTTCTGCACTGGCTAACAAATGAAGGTCTAAAGCTTCTCTGTCTGTTATTTAGGGCCCTCTATAATCTGATACCACCATATCTTTCTAGCCTCATGTCATGTTATTCACTTCCCTAAACTCTGTGCTAAAGTCAAAATGTACTACTTGTGTCCTCTCATTCTCCCCTCCGAAAACAACACATATTGTGTTCTCAGTCCTCTATGTCTTTGCTCACACTGGTTTTTATTCCTAGAATGCCTTTCCTTACCTGTCTTTACATACAGAATTCCTAACTGTTCTTTAAAGCCCAACTCAGATCCTACTTTTTCCATGAAGCCTTCCCTGGTCTTTACTCAGTTCCAGCCTTCCCCCACTCATACTTGTATTCCCTACAGGCATCATATAGCACTTTGTTTTGTAATTCTATAAAGGACTTATCAAAAAAAAAATGATGGCATTTTAATATCATATAATGCCATATCTAACTATTAAAAATGACAAGCTTATGGACAATACTATACGTGGAAAAAGTGGCTATGAAATAATGTTAAGTCAGAAAAAGGATGCAAAATAGGAGGTATGTACTGACTCCAATTTCATATGTGCACTTTATTTGTAACTATGCGAAAAAGGAAATTAAGAAACATTCATGATGTAATCTTCAGTGATTTTTTGTAAAGTTAAAATTTTTAAGGATAAATTATGCATAATCAAAAATTTTACGAAGTTTGAACTATATATCCAATTAAAATTTTAGAAGTGTATTCCTATGGGAAAACTTTCATCTAAAAAGTAATATTTGCATGAAAAACATTCAGACTTTAAAATGCTCATAAAAAGGAAAGGGAAAAATTAGGTTAAAAATATGGCTTGGGGCCAGGATGGGGAAGGCTTAGGATACCATCTCAAGAAATTTGGATTTTATTGTATAAACAATGGGAAGCATAAAAATATACATACCCAAATATGCCCCTTCTATTTAAAAAAATTTATATTGTTTTACTTTTATATCACTTATATTTCCTACTATATTTCCTCTCTCACTCCTCCAATGGAACTATCTTTTATAATAAAAGATAAAAAAGGAAGAAAAAAAGTTCTGCAAAACTAAATAACATAACTAAAAAATCCGACATTATAAAGAATATCCCACACTCATGAGCCTGTATTTCTGCAAAAGACTGGGGGAAATATCTTCTGATATCTCTCCTTTAGGATCAAATTTGGTCATTATAATTTCCTAATGCTCAGTTTTGATTGTTTTGTTGTTCTTTCTATTTACACTGTTGTTGTCTTTGTTAATAATATTGTTTTCCTAGTTTTACTTACTTCCCTTTGTCTCAGTTGATATGTCTTTTCATGTTTCTCTATATTTATCATATTCATAGTTCTTTACAGCACAGTAACATATCATTACACTCATGTACCCAATTTTTATCCACTCTCCAATCAAAGAGCTTCTACTTTATTTCCAGTTGTTTGCTACTACAAAAGTGATGCTATAAATATGTTGGTATATATATGTGTGTATATGTGTATGTACATATATAAATATACACATATTTTTGTATATATATGTATACATATGCACATATATATCCTTTTAACCCTTTCCCCCCCTTTTTTGGTCACTGACTTCCTTGGAGTACATGCTTAGCAGCAAAAGCTCTGGGGCAGGATATTTTAGTACTTAATAATAACTGTAATTTCAAATTGCTTTCCAGAATGGTTGCTCTAATTCACAGCTCCAACAATACATTAGCACATCTCTCTTTCCACAACCCTTCCATTGACTATTCCCATCTTTCATCATCTTTGCCAATGTCCACTGATACTGACAGAGTTACAGACATATTTACAAGTCTGCATATCCCCCTTTTTTGGTCCAGAGCTGTGATTTCATTGGGATGGGGAACTCTTGGTGATAAAACTCCTTCTACCAGTACAGCTCAGCAACTACTTTGCAATTTCT